CATGTAGAGCAGCAAGATTCACACTGAACACTGGCAGGAACTAAAAGGATCAACTTCCAAATGTCCAGACCAAGAATGAATGCTTGCAGATGATCCGACTCTGCAGCTCTACCACTTAAAGCTTGAAGCTGATTGTGTTGTCTGGACAAGTGGTGGGATATGGTTTTTGTCCTCTCCTGGCCTAAAAGCTTTGCCTACTCTTTTTGAGTTCATGTACAGGATCTGGCTTGGATGAAGTAATTTTCTTTACAGACCAAAAAGGGGATATTCCATACCACATATTGTCACGCTCAGCAATAAAACTGGGATTGCAGAATAAGAAGGTGGAAGGGGTGGGGGGGGGGCTGGGGGGGGTTACCTTCCAGGATCATCAATTGCTGGAAGACTTGCTGGGCATCAGTCTGCTTGTGGGAGGCGGTTAGTTACTTCCCTTGCATCATTTCCCCTCTCTTTCATGCATTTATTAAAGTTTCCTTTAACCCAACCCGTGAGTTCTAACTTTTCCTGGTATCTCTCCCACCTTCCTGAGCGGGAAGGAGCAGGAGGTTGTGTGGGTGTTTACCTCCTGACCAGGGTCAGCCTATCACAAGTGGAAAAAACCCAACATTTATAGGCTGTATTATGATGCACTGCTAGATACAACAAGTTCAATAATGCAGGATCAGCTGAAGATGTACAGCTTTTGCATAGCATATTTTACTATAAGGCACTTCGAAGGACACTCTTCCACATCTATGCATATGCACTTGTGTTACTGTAGTGGTAAAACTTCTGAACAGGGCAGAAAGTTAGTGCAAACAGAGCAAGTATTGATTCCCTATTCCTGTGTCCTCTTGGCATGAGCTAAGGGATGGGTGTCAGGACGTAAGAAAGCTGATCAAAGTACAGCACCAAGGGAGAGGACATTGTTATTACAGTGATGGGATTTAAAGAAATTCAGAGTTCTGCTTCTCTCCATAGAGATTCAACACATGGCGAGTGGCACGGAGGGGACAGTGAGAGCAGCCCTTCGCTGTGACCCCGAGAGGACTTCGCGCCTGCCCGCAGAACACACATCGAGCGGCGCCTCTTTGTCAGCGCTGCTTCACCGGCTGAACGCGAGCGCCAGCAGGCCCGCAGACCTCACAATGACAGTCTGACTCTCACGTTCCTCGATTTTGGCATTAAAACACCTTTATTTTCTGCAACAGGGATCAGCGAGAGCCGCAGGAGGACGGGCTTGGCGTGCCCGGCCCCGCTGGCGGCGAGCGCCTTCCGACACCCGCCCGCTTCGACTTGGCTGAGCAGAGCCGCCCGGACACCGCCCGGCCCGGGCCGCGAGGGAGGCAGGAGCGGCGCACAGGCATGTCACGGTACGGCCGGGTACGATCCAGTACGGTACGGCCGGGTAGAGTACGGTACGGGACGGTACGGCCGGACACAGCGCGGCTCAGAGCGGAGCGCACCCCGCACCGCCCAATGCCGTCGCCGCAGCCGCCGCCCGCCCGCAGCGCGGCCCTGCCCCGCCCCGCTCCAGCGCGCCCCGCGGCAGCGAAGCGCTGATTGGCTGCGGCGCCCGCGCGGGGCCTGGTGGGAGCAGCGCCCGGGCGCCGCGCTCCTCCTGCGGCGGCGCTGGCGGCGGGCGGGATGCGCGGCCCGGCCCGCGGCAGGTACGTGATGGCGCGGGATGCCCGGCCCGGCCCGGCCCAGCTCCGAGCGGCTCCGCGCTGGGAGAGGGGCGCGGGGTGGTGGGAGAGTGGCGCTCGCCGTAGCAGCACTCAGGTATCGGCCCCGGGCACGAAGCGGAGCAGGACAGCAGGTGCCCCCTCCCTCTCCTTCCTGGCCGCCGGCAGCGGGGCGGGCTGGGCCGTGGTGCGGCCGTGGAGGAGGAAGCCCCCGGCTGCGGGGAAGGGCGGCGGGCGCCGTGCGGCTGTGCCGGCTGGCGGGCCGGGGGCTGCGCTGACCTCTGCCAGCGCCCTCCCTGCCCGCCGGGCCCGGCGCTGGCCGCCCCTCGCGCAGCCTGCCGGGGGTTGGGTTTCAAAAAAGAGCGCCTGACCCACCCACTGCTCGCTCCGTCGCTGTGCAGTCCGTGGGGGAGCTAATTTGGCTTTTTATTTAAGGCTCTACAAAACATAGGACCTCTGTGGGATGCTTCCGGGCGGAAACAGCCGCAAATTAAGTTTAGATGGAAAAAAGTTTAGTGTTTTGTTGTGGCTGAGGCGGCCTAGGACAGGCCAGCAGTAGGTGATGGGTGATGCTCCTGGTTTGGTTTTGCTTGTTTCCTTGTCCACGGCACTCAGCTGGAGGAACTTTCTATGGTCCCAGTGGAAGTTTGTGAGGCCAGTAAATTGTGAGCGAACTGTGAGCAGAACTGGCGATTGAGATTGAGATTGAAAGATAAAATTTGTGTTCTTTGTCTGTATCTCTGTATCCTAGGCCTTGATTACAAGTTTCTAACTTCCTTTTTCTTGTAATATGTCTTCTCTTGATGTTATTCAGTCTTGAATTTTTGCATGTCAGTTATTAAAATTTACTTGGGAGACTGACTTTTTTGGGAGAACTTCTAATCTTTAAAACATTAACAAGCCTGAAGAAATTTGAGACTGACTTGATAAAAGTGTAATGAGATCATGAAGCTGTTTTCTCCACGTAGGTGGATGGGTGTGGATGACTTCATGGATTTATGCCTCTTTCAAAGGAGAAACTTTTTCTGCTCTAGTCTCTTAGTCTGGCACTTCTGCTTTTTATTAAATAACTTAGATGTTTTGGAGTAAAGGAGCTGCTATAAATATTTTTTTGGGAGAGTCAGGTGATAAAACTGGTAGTAGTGTTTTCTTAAGCTTCTCTGTTCAGTGTTTTTAATGGGACATGTTGCAGCTATCTTACATGTGTGTTACATCAGTGATAATGTGGAAGTGAGTCCAACTGCACTACTGCTTAGTCAGTAAAACGCACAGCTCTGTGCTAGAGTGCATTCTTCAGAAGGGAAAAGTCCTATGCAATAATTTTTTTGGTTAGAGCATGGGAGGGAAGCAACTTGTGGACTATCTCTTGCCATGAGTAGTAGGGTATTAGTGGTAGGTATGTGGAGTGGCAGATAAGGAGGAGAATTTGAAGCAGTTGAAGACAATTTGTGTTGTCATGTCAAGAAGAAGAGAGGGGATGAAGGAAAACATCTGAGGCACTCCATAGTAATCATAGAAAATTTTCTGTCTCCTCACTGAGGATTCAGTGACTAAACTGTAATAAACTAAATGTGAATCTAGTGGCCTTAATCACTTAATACCTCTTTGGGGAAGGGTTTTGGTAGTATTACAGACTTGCAGAGCAGCATCTGTAAAGTCTGTCATCATCATAGCTCCTGTAAAGTCACATGCATAGTGACAGTTGTCAAACCTGTTTCTCTTCCAAGCATTTGCCAGATGTTTAAAAAAACCATGTGTAGCAATAGCAGTGTCAATGTGTTACTGATTTAAGTCAGAGTCACCAGTAGCTCATGGATAATTTGTTCTCAAAAGATCCTCTAACACTTCTAGTGGAGGGGTTCTCAAAGTATGGTTTGAAGGAAAATGGCACACACAAAGGCCATGTGAGCATCTCTGTGTCTCTCTGTGTCCACAGCTGAGAGCTACCATTGCTCCTAATGGCAGTGGTAATGCTAGGGAAACATTGGAGCCTTGTGCTGCCTTTACCGACTTCTCAATTGCCTATTTGACACAGTATCTATATTGCAAAACAATATGAAAGCTATCTCTATGTAGAAGTATCTGGGAAGAAAGTGTAGGCTCAGATCTTCAATACCCATCATGTAAAAGCTCGCCTGTATTTGTAAAGTCACAGTTGTGTAAAATTCTTGTGTTAGATTGTGTATTTAAAAATAAAGACTGCTGTTTTACTGAGGTGAGTTGCTGCAGTAGTGATTATTTTGAGAATTTGTTCGAGTCCAAGGGGTAATTGCTTTTTCTGTATCTCATCCCTTTGTGCTACTAATTTGGCAGCAGTGGAGCTAGTTTGGCCATCTGTTCTAGCTTAATTTTCACAGCATTTCTGATATGGATTTCCTTATCTTTAAGGACTGGTTTCTGAAACCAGTAGGGCCTATAGTTCTGAAGTCCTTGGCTTTCTTAAAAGGTGAAGAGGTTACCAGACTACAGTAGTTGTTGTACTAATGAGCAGCGCATATCCTATACATACTAAATTGTTCTATCAGTCTCAGACAATTTGAAACAAATTTGGTTTGAAATGTATCTATCCATTTTTGGCCAAAGGAGACTTAATAAACAAGATAATGATCACTTATGTTTCTGTTTAGCTAGATCAGTTAGTGATTCATTCCAGAATGAAAAAGGTTTGAGCCCTGGTTGGTATTGAGCATTAGTTTACTGTCAGGGTTGTTTTGAACTGATTACTATTTTGTTCAATAGGTAAAAAACTTGTGTATTAAATGACTGGAGAGAAAGTCTGCCATCCTAAGGTTCAGTTGATTCAACTATCTTCTAATGGAAAGTTGCTACAATTTTAGTTTAGGAGCTTAGATCCAATCATCAAATTAATGTTGTTTATGGGTTCCAGATTTGTGTAGGTTGAGCTGCTCTTGCCCTTTTGGAGCTGCTTTGGAGTAATTTGATGTGCTGATCGTGGCTGTCCATCGTGGGCTGTGCAGGGAAGACTTGCTAGTGTAGTGCTTTTGTATAGCAAATGAAATCTTTGAAACCGATTCTTTAAACTTAAAACTGAGCACACAAAAGAACAGTAGTGCTATCCAGCATATTCTTGTTGATGAGAACATAAAAAGGAAATAGATTTATTTGAGAAATTTTCTCATGAACAGAAGGATGTTAATGCTGAATACCTAGAGTGACAGCTGAAAAGGAATACTGAGTTATGCTTAGGGACAGCAGAGGAAAGAACTGGAAATCAGTATCTAAAATAATCCTGCCCAATACTAAGTTTTTAAAATTGTTTTTCTGCTGAAGTGTTTTGATGACTCTCTTTGCAGTTCATTTGCACCTGTGTTTTTGAGAACTCCCCTCTGGTTAAATATTTCCAAAATAAAAATAACTTCGGCCACATCTGGTCTGCTGACCTGACTTACAGGATGGCCTATGAATCAGAAAACTGAATTTAAAAATAACACGTAGGTAGATAGCTAGACAATCGCCTTATACAATATTTTGATTTTTTAAAGATGTTGGAATGAATTTGAGAATCTTTGATTATGTTGTTAGATTGCTTTTGAGTGCTTAATTCTTTATTTCTAGCTGTGAATGCTTGTAGAAGATTGATAGCTCTGCCAACATTTGTCCACAATAGAAGATGGGTGGATTAATTTCAAGATGGAGGGTAAGTAACATTGTGTAACAATGTAATAACTTTTAGTCTAGAAGATGGGAGTACCTAGGACATGTTTACTCTTAATATTAGCTGAATGATAGTGCTAAAGTTTTCCTGTGAGTATGTCACTTAAAAATCCAGTAGTGGATATCCTGACCGAAAGTATTCTTTGCTAAATCACTAAGCTGTGGAACTCTGCTGTTGTCCTTCGTTTCATTTGCAGTACCAGCACTGTTCCTGGCACTGACTTAGTTAACTTAAAAATATGCAGTTTTAACTCTTTCTGTAAATCTAAATAGTTTTGTGGTCCATCATTGGGATAGAAACTGCAGCATCTGTGACTTGAAAGGTTGGTAACATAAGTAAAAATGGGTATGTGCAGAATACATTTCTGTCTGTTTTAACCAATAGTTTGGTAGCTACTTACTCCTATATAAGTCTGTCTTCCTGTCTGCTTTTATTGGTTGTTGAGTGGTGTACTGAATTTATGAGGAAGAAGAGGCATGAGGTTTTTGTCTACTTTACTGGCAGATGTGAGTTGAGTCTGGGTTTGACTTTGTTTATTAGCAATTGACTTCAGAGCCTTCCATACAAAACTCCGTTAAAGGTGGAACTTCAGGTGGAATGTCAGTTTTGTATAATTAAAACTCACTTTCAAGGTGATGAAGTGTGAGCTATGGTTCTTGAATTCACGGTGTGAACAGTGGGGAAAGATTGTGGCTTGACAATTCTCAGAAATCAGGAAAGATTCCTAGAAGGTGGATTTCCAGTTGCTCCTATGGGGAATTTTACTGGTGATGACAGCCCTTATTTGCAGTTCCTTATGATTTATTTACACCATGTGTCCTTATATGGAATGAATAGTAATAAAAAACTGGAGTACTCAGGTTAGGGCTTCCTCTCTGTATTCTGTGTTTTGCCTATTTTTGCTGCTTATCAATTCTGTTCTTGTTTTACTTTCCACCCACACATTCATTATTGCTGTAGATGCATTATAGGTTTTCGTTTTTTGTGATGTAGGAGAGGAGCCTTCAGTTAAGAGTAATGCCAGCTGTAAAATAGTATTTTATTATGGTCGTTTCTATTTGTCATACTAAAGTAGGAGAACTTCTTACCTTTATGTAAAACAGATAATTTATTAATCTATTATGAATATATCTTTTTGTTAGGAAACTGTTAATATACGGTAATCCTTGAAATACTGAGTTTTTAAAGTGAGATTAATATCTTTGTTCTTTCCCTTGTAAGCAGGCAAAGCCTTCCACTGTAGAAGTATTAGAAAAATTAGATAAGGTATGTATTTGCTTTTTGGTGTTTTGTTTGATTTTTTGTTTAGAAATATACCTCCTTTTTGCTGGCCATGTATTTCTCTCATGTTAGGTAAAATACTCTTGTGAAATTTTAAATTATTTTGGTAATTATTACAGTAGTAGAGATTCTGCATATCAGAGGAATTATCTTTTTCCCCCTTACTGTTTAGTCATTTAAAAAATACCAATACTGTATAATAGATAGTGAGAAACTAGAGGGCAAATATTTATTTAGAGAGCCTGAAATAGGAATGAATATGAAGCTGCCTTGATTACACAATTCAGTTATAACTAATTGTTAAAGTCCAATGTAATGGCAAATGTCACTAATGAAGAGTTCCATCCATTGGGTTGATTAGAAAAGCTTCAATGTATGGATTTATATGTAGAAGTTGTGACTGTAGTGGAAGTAAGTAAGGCCAGTGGCAGAATAACTGAATAGTTTGTTCAGTAATCAATTGTGATTTTTTCATCAACATTTGTGACAGATGTCTGTACTCCATGGGGAAATTAACTGTTTTGAAATACGCTGTTGATATTTTGTTTTCATTTTAATGGAAGTGTGAGTACTTCTGTTGTCACTTGAAATGCAGTCAAAATGGTTAACATAGAGCATTGCTAGATCCCTTATTAATATACCATAAGCATCATACAGATGTTCAGAATTTCACTCTTAAGGTGAGGAAAGTACTGGAAGGGAAAAAACAAGTAAAATGATGGAGAGGTTCCAGCAATTCACCATGTTAGTAGAAAAGTGTTAGAGACATTTAAAATTCCACAAGTACCTGATGAAAGCTTTAGAATGCCAAGTATGGCTGGTAGTGACTTATGTGCCATTAATAAGACACTGGTATTTTTCACTTGTCCCAAATATACTAATGCATTACAAATGGGAAAAAGTGCTAATTTTAAACTCTTCTTACCAATTGCTAATAAGGTGCATGTGACCCATAACATAACCTTATTAGTGTGGAGTATTTATGCTATGAAAGTTATCTTTGGGCAAATATTGTCATTTATCAAAAAGCTGCTTGACTTTTCTAATCAAGTATTAAACTGATACGGCTAATTTTAGCAAACATTTAAAGGCAGCTTTGTAGAACCACTTACTAATTGCACTAATAAGGCTGAACCTTGTTTATTTGCAGGAAATACAGACATTAGAAGAATTTAGAGAAAAAAATCAGAGGCTACAGAAACTATGGGTTGGAAGGCTTCTTCTCTACTCCTCAGTTGTTTATCTTATTACTTGCTTAATTGTATATTTGTGGTGTCTTCCTGACGAATGGACAGCAAGGCTGACAATGACACTTCCATTTTTTGCATTTCCATTGATGTAAGTAAATATGCTTTTTTTTATTTTCTAACTGCTGTCTCTTTGATAAAAGGAGATGGAAAATACATCTCAGCAGGGGTTTGGGTTTGCTTTGACAATTCTTGAGATGTCATAACTTGCTGAATTTTTCCTTCTAAAATAAATTCAAGTAGTTAGGCAGTCACTTTCTTTGAGGGGAATGTGTCTCATGGGTCTGGGTTTAGTATAGAACTAAATCTTATCATCAAAAGATAATAGCATCTAAAGTTACTTGGCTTATCAAAATTGTGCTGGGGCTAGAGAGCTGTGTCTGAACAGCTGTAAGGTAATGTAGTATAAGCATAAGAGCATTATCTTGGGTTTTATTTTTACTGCAGTTTATAAAGTCATATTATATATGGGAGTAACCAAAGGTAAAATGTAAAATATAGCGTATAAACCTGGGAAAAACACAAGAATGAATGGAGAAACTTATTTTCATGTGTTAGGTGACTATTAACACAGAATTGACTTGAAAAGTCATTAACCTAAGTGTGCTGAAGACTAGTTCTACATAATTAGCTGTTTTTCTGGAAAATCATTGACTGTTTTGTTCAACAAGTAAATATGCAGACTTCATTGTACGTGAACTGGAGAAAGTATTGCCTACATATTTGTTCCACCCAGCTGATTGGTTGCTTCTCCTGATGAGTGGCTTTTGTTGTCTAAGAAACCTACTTTTCTAAAAGTACTAGAATGGGCTCCCACCTCACTGGAACAGCTGCTCTGCTGCCTCCCCTTCCTCCAGACCATCAGGGAGGTGAGAGCAGCCTCCTGAGCATCTCTCCTACCCATGGGGAGCACAGTGCATTTACTGATTTGCTAAAATGGTCATAAGTACTTCCATTTGTACAGCACCTTTGTATGAAAGCCTGGATTGTAGATGCCCTAGCTTTAGACTTGAAAAGGAAAGTCAAAAGTAAATATTCGAGGCTTTGCAAGTTTGATGAGTGTGGGTCAGCATAATGTAACATGTGGAAAATCTCCAACTTGAAGATGCTTTTTGTACGTCATGCTGCATTATCCATAATATACTGATGTGCTGCTGTTGTGGACTCCTGTAGAGAAGATACATGGGCAGCAGTATAGTATCTTGACTGGAAAGGATTTTATATAGGAATTAGAGCTCAGTTTAATATTTGGCAGTAATATGAATTAATTCTGTTCTTGAGGACAAGCATTTCAAAGCCTTTGTTGTTAGTATGTGTGGCTTGTTCATGCTGGTAGGAAAGGCTTGTAAAAGAAGTATTACAGCCTGCTTTCACATAGGTGTGTTAGAATTAGTGTAGGAATGAAAGCTTTTATTATTGAAGGTGATGGCTTCTAGTGCTGTGGTTTGAATTTACATGTTGGACTTTTATTCTCTAGTTTGTCCTCCAGTTCTGCTTAGTTTTCTCTAGATGGCTCTCTGAAAATTCTGATTTAGATATCAGCTTACTAGCTGATAGAATCAGACTGTTGTTCTCTTATGACTTGCAACTGTTTATCAGATTTTTTTTTTCCTTAAGCTATTCCCCTTCAGCTTTTTTTGGCAGATATGAATGGCAAGCAGCTGCCAGCTTGTCTTTGTTCTCGGTCAAGAGGTGACTCCATGCTCAATGCCTGGTGCCACCCAGTAATAGCTCTAGAGATTTTTCAGACCTAATCAAACTGGAGTATGTCTGCCTTTTCCAGCTTGCAGTCAGTCACCAACTTATTTCTGCCTTAGGTCAGTCCCTCAGGGTCTCAGCCAGTTTTTGATGTTGGTAGAGGAAGTTAAATTTTAGGAGTATAACTTTTTAAATTTTAAATGTATACTGGAATACCTCAAAGGTTGAAGAAATATGTTAGCATGTTAGAAGGGTGCTCTTCTTGAACTGATTTTTATTTGAATTAGTTTCAATTTGCATCTTCCGATTTATCATGGAAATATGTTTTTTTTGGTTTTTTTTTTTTTTTTTGTAAAATTGGTTGAAATGGTCTGCTATTAAGCTTTGGTCTCTGATTTGCTAAAGAGGAAATGCTTTTTTATTTCATGATGTCTGGCTTATTTCATATTTAGAATACAGCTTTAGGTAGAAAACTATTAAGCATACATTAAAAGATAAATAATGCTTTTTGCCTGTATAGCAAGGTATGCAAAGGCAATTTAAACCCTGTAAACATTTATTTCTTCTGGTGCTTTATGAAGACACATTTTGTGTTGTGTAAGCAGATAAATCCACCTGTATTACTAGATCAGTTATTATAACACACCTTTGGATATGGAATAGTTAAACTTTTTTGTTTCTCTTACCTTGGATAGGCTGCTCTCAGATTGCAGTTGCCTCATCTAACTTGCCTAACTTGGGTTGTGTTGTTAATACTTGAAGGCATTTTTAAGTGGGCAGCTGTTATATAAATAGAGAAGATGTTCTTACAAATTAAGTCAAAACTCTTAGGGCCTTTTGCCTACTTTATTATGCATGCTTTTAGTCAGATAACCTTTCTAGCCTTTTTTCTTAAATAAAATATTGCTAATTTAGACTCTATTATTTAATTGCCATTAGGAGAGTTTTGGATGCTTGGAATGGCTTGGTATATGAGCTTTGCCACTTGGCTTAGACTGAATAACTTATCAGGAAAAGTGTCAGCTTAATATTTAGAAGCAATTCTAAGCTCTAAAACAAATGAAGTCCTGATGATGGCAGAGAAACCTTTCAAATATTAAATGATCATAAGTTAGTTTAAATTCATCTTGACATAAACTGCTCCAGCTAAGTCAGCTGAAACCCTACAGAAACTTAGACTTAGAGCTCTCTAAAATCACTAGGACTCAGGTCAGTTAATTCTGCTTAGGAGAGCATTTGTACAGTAGCTCTATCTCATGGTTTTCATTGATATTAGAATTCTTCCCACTAGTCTCTTAGGCCTTAACTGGTAAGTTTCTTTTTTTCAATAAAATGCATTATAAATCTATCAAATGAAAAGTGATGACTAAGTAATTTTCAGCTGAACGTTCTTTAGCAAGTGATGATACTGGTGCTGCTGCCTTAATATTTCTGCCTTAAGTAACAGTTAATTTTAATAGAAAAGATAATTTTATTTAGAGCAATATTGATGTCTTGTTGACAAGATGCTAATTTAATTTTTAGTTTTTTTCTGTAAATATTGTTTGAAGGTTTCTGTCCTTTGTATCTGTGCAATAAAATCTCATCTGGTAAGTGTTGTGTTTGCTAAATGACTTCAGAAATGATTAGTGTAATATATTTTAATTAATATAATTCTTTTTTTTTTTCTAAAGAATCTGGTGTATAAGAACACTGCTCATTTTTTTCTTTTCCAAACGGACAGAAAGGAATAGTGAGTACTTTTCCTTGTATTTTTTTTTCTTAGAATATGTAGCTAGCTAAGAATGGTGCTTGCTATGATAATGTAAATGCTTTTGATCGTTTGGCTTCGAGGAAGACAAGAGTAGCCTTTTAGTTGATACTGAAATGGTCAGTATTAGCTAAACATTTTTCTACCACGTAGTTCATGAAGGAGCAGGAAGGAAACTGCTTAATCTTTGACTTCACTTAGAAAATTGTGCTAACTTTCTCCTGTCTTTGCATGTGTCAGATGTGTAATGGATAAAATACGGTGTAGAAGTAGGAGCAAGGGGAAAGGAAATACAAACAGTACTAGTAATTCCCTTGATACTTGCATCTCACAAATATTCCAGAAGTCTTAATCTGTTATCCTTATACAAAAGGGAAGAGATTTATAGCAGATGTGTCTAATTTATTTGTCAAGATATCTTTTCTCTCCCAAGTTCTCCAAAGCATACTTATCTTTTCCTGAGTGGGAAAGGTGGGTTTTTTTCTGCTTTTTTCAGAGCTAAGGAAAATTGGAAGTCATGTAACAAAACCGAAAAGTAATGGAGGTGTTCAAATATATATAAAAAGTTGTTAAATTTTGCATTAGACTGAATCTGCATGCTATTTAAAAACAGCATCTGTGGCACTTGTCTGCCATAGTTAGAATTCATTTGAGACTTACCTTGAAAGCAGTCCAGCCTGTAACAATATCTCATGGTGATGTGAGCAATAATACAGGGAAACTTCAGTGTTGCACTGTGTTTTATGACTTGCAGAACAGCATGATATATTTAATTTGTGACAGCTTACAAGTTAAACATCACTTTTAGAATTTTTCTTAAACTTAATGTTTGCATTTGATATGCAAGCACAGAACATACATTTTTATGTAGAAATAAAATTGTCCATATATTCTGTGGTGCTGTGTGATTCATTTCTAAGGTGAGATGAATGATTTGCATTTCATGGCTGAATAAGAAAAAAAAGTATGTTTTTCTAGTTTGCTTAAATGTCTTTACTGCTATTTTGAGCATACAGGCAGATCTAGTGCTTTTGTTGAACCTGTGTCTAAAGGGTTTAGTAGATGATAGAACATGCCAAAAGGGATTATTTCTCTGTGGTTCCAGAATCTGGATAAAAATGAAGTGTTTAACCTCGGAGATAAAAGTCCTATATTTGAAAAAGAAAAATCAAATGTAGAGTTGAAGCAGTAAAGCAGGAGAAAGTGTAGCTGAGAGAGCAAACTGTCAACCAAGTTGCTCAAAGCTAAGTTTTTATTCTGGGATAAGTTAGTAAAACATACTGAGACACTGGAGGTGGTTATTTAATACAATAAAGCTCTGTGTTGGATAACCGGTATACACCAGATTTGGGAATGATGCTGTGAATGAAGAAAATTTGAGGCTGGACTCCAGGGAAGCTGATGCAGAGAGATTATGGAATTTGAGTTTTTAGCACTTTTCAGACAAACGACTGCTAAAGATTTAGGCTGATCTGTCCCGAAGCGTGGAGAAAATAAATGACGTATATTGCAGGTATTGACTACTCTAGTATAAATTCTTTTTTTTGTAGGTTAAATTAAGATGAGATATGTTGGTTTCTTGAGAGTATTTTGCAGTAATTGCCATTTGGCCACGTTTGAAGGGGCAGGTGTTTCATGAGGTTCTTGTTGAGTACAGGAGGTAAAGTGATCAGAGAGAAACACCCACACTTTAAACTGATTGCATTGCATTGTGGAAGCTATGCTTGAAGGTGTTCTAGACCTTTCTGCACCAAAAGCACTTGCAGTTTCTTGAGTAACCATAAATAGCTGGCTGTATTCTGCTGTTTATTTGGTTTCATGATACCACACTGCATTGCAGTACATTTTAAGCTGTTAATCTGTCTGGGACAACATGTGAGACTGTGTTCTAATATAAATGTAAAATTTGGTGAAAGGACATACCTTACAAATTTGAAGATGGACGCTTTCTGTAATTATCTGTCTTTTGTAGTCCATACCAGGATTTAATATTGTCTTTTTCCATGTCCTATTAACAAATACTGGGCGTTGTAATTACCCTTTTATTGCATAAATAATAACCTTTCAAATACGTGAGTGCCAGTTGTTGTATTTTGCACATTTAATAAAGAGGTTTATTTGATCAAAATAGATTTCTGCATTCTGGAAAAGTTCAAGTAATTATTTGTTCCCTTAAGTTTAAGTGACAGTTTTCCTGAAGTATCTTCGAATGGTATGGAATACTTCTTTAAAATTAACAAAAATACAAAAAAAAAAAGTGTTTTTAGTTTGTTCGGTTTTGTCTTGTAGTTCTATGAAGCTTCTTCTGTCTTTAAAATCTGAACAATGGGTAAGAATAGGTATATTTTTACAGGAAGTAAGCTGCCAGTGTTCAGTAGAACACTGAGAAAGGGTAAAAAGTTGTACAGTTTATTGTTAAAATCTTCTAGCTGTGAACAGAGGTAGTAGAAAGCTAATTTGTTGAGAGAGTATCTTCTGCATTAAGTGGTGGCTTATTACAGTGAGTTTTCCATGAGTGTCAAGCTCCAAATATTGACTTTCAGGAAAAACCCACATACATTTGGCCTTGATTCTTTCTCTTCCTCTTAGGTTAGGTGTTATGCCTACCTGTTGTAACAGTCTCTTAACATTTAGTAGTAAAATCACCTCCTGTTCTTACAACAGGAGGCTTTGCTGTAGTCTGAGAGTATAGAAAGGAGGAAATAGATTGAGCTTTGAAGCTTGGAATTGACCTGGCATTTGAAACTAGTATGTGTTAAGAGGTTTATGTGAAATATTGAAGCCAGTAAATCTGGTACTCAGATATATTAATGCTTAGACCTCAAGCTTTTTTCTGTTTTTTGACCCATGAGATTAAATGTATTTGGTCCATTGTTGTACCAGTTTTTAATGTAGGTCAGAGCAGGGCACTGGTGAGAATTGGTTTGCTTAATGAGGAAATGGTACATAAAAATTTTTAATAGTTATAACTGTAAAATGATAACAGTGGGCTATAATTTATAAGCAGTTTCTGCATTTTAAGTGATTTATTTTCACATAAAAAGCTCTATTTTATACAAAGTTTACTGATGTCTAGAGTTGGTAGTGGTCAGTGTGCAATTTTTTCTGATTTCACAAGGTGAAGTCAATGTTTAGAGTGTGCTGAAATTACTTTATATTTGAAAACTAATGTATCATGTCCTTCTTTTAGATGATGCGCTGGAAGATTTAAAATCCCAAAAGAAAAAAATAGTAAGTAAAACTTAAAAAAAAAATGGTTGTTATGGTCACTAAAACTGGTGAATGCCAGGTATTTGCACCAAAGTTGATCAACAGTTAATCTCAGTAAGAAAAATTTAGGATGGAAGAAGTTCCAAGTCTTGGATAACTTGCCGTCTTTGTGAAGTTTGTAGCACTGAAAGCTGTTTCGTCTCTGTTTAATCACTGCATAAGGAAGCTTGTTGAGAGAGGAAACTGTTTTCTTACATGGTTGGCTTCACCTGCCTTAGACGGCAGAACTTAAACAGTGCCACAACCCAAACATTGTCTGCCCCCCAGCCCTACCCTGCCAAAGCAACTCCTCCCTCCAAAACCTCAAAAAATTCTATTATGTGGCTTTGTTATTAATGAGTTTCCCAAAGTGTTTGCCTCATACCTTCTGGATTTTGCCATGGTAGCTAAATAAATAAAAAACCCACAACAAAGGTACCAAAAATGCATTGGGTAAGAGTTTGGTATTATGTCATGATCTGTGTTTTATCACTTTTAAAATGTAGATGTAAAAAAGATAACCTGTAACCTAATTATGTAATTGTTCTTTGGTAAAGAGGATTTGGTCATATTTAAATGGACGTGTCCTTTGGTTGTAGCGGTGATATAAAGGAGTTGGAGAGGCTTACATTTTCTAGGAAAGAAAGAAATGAGCATGACAACTATGTCAAGTTTATTTTAAGAAAACTGCTTAAATAAAATTAGATAATGTTTCCAATTAACAATAGTCATTTGGTAGCCTTAAAGGAAAAATTCTTGAAACAGGAAAAGCACAGTCGAGAACAAAAGAGCTTTTGGAATCTTAAATGTGAAGTCTTCATTTCAGTTGAAGTTTAGTTTTCTGTAATCATGAAAATCTTTTTTATAGAAGCACTTGTAATACTGAATTTTTGTGTTTGAGAAGCAATTAGGACAAGAAGCATTGAATAAGAGATTAGTCAGGAAAAAACCTAAATGTGTATTTTGCATATGCAAAACAACAAAACAACATACTGTAGAAGAACCAGAATGAAACAATGCACAGTACAAAAATGAAACAACTGCATAAATATTTTGTAGACAATAATGAAATTGTAGTGTAACTATGGAGAATTTAAATCTGGAAGTATAAATTGCCACGAGTATATATGCAAGTCAAGCTTTAATCATTAAAGACAAACTTCTAAATAGGATTAGTGAAACTGAGCTTTGGGAAGTCCAATAATGTGTAACTCAGCTCTTTTTCAGAGTCTGTGATTATCATGTGATCTTGTGGGTGCCTGCTTCCTAGCAAGGAACCAGAAACAAAGGACTTACTGCAACCTTTTGAACCAGTGCAGTGTTGGTATTTTATACTCAGAAGATGGACTCAGGAGGTTCATCATAATTTAAGATATTCAATTAAGCATTAAAATTAGATAAGTATGCATGAAACAAAACATGTTGAAATGAGCTGGAAGGGGATGCAGGTAACAAGACAGAATTCATGGTTTAGATAAAAACACTGAATAAATTGCATTCTATAAAAATTTCATTTTGGTAATATTCAGATTTTATTTTGTTTGATTAACTTCCTTAGGAGTGCCTTTGGCTATGAGTAACCTACTTTTTAGCAAAACAAAAATCAAGTGAAACAATGGAAGGGAGAGGATCTTTTTTTCCTGTTGAATTCTGATTTGCTACTGAGTTTGCAAATAGGATTAGTTACTAAGAAATTTACATTGTGGTCCTCCAAGTATTTAGGATAAGTAAATTATGTGTTTCCTGTTTATTTGTAATGCAAATTGTTGTCTAGCCACTGAGCCTGCTGCAACAGCTGTGCTTTTTCACTTTGTTGCAGCTCAGCTACCTAATTGCTGGATAAATCTTATATTGAAGACAATCGTCCTTTTGAAAAATGTTACAGTACTTGTGTTTTACAGTCATTTGGCCCACCTTTTCCCTACAGACATTACTTGTGTGCTGAAGGGATATAAGGTTGTTACAGGGCTTACCTGTAAATGATGAAAGCTCTTCATCTGGTCTAATGCCCTGGTGGGTTTGCATTGACTGCTGAATAGAAATGAATTTCTGTTTAATTTCTCTATTGTCTTTGATAACATAGTCACATGGATACGCGTGTGGGTAAAATATTTGCCAAATACAGATACTTCATCTGGAAATTACCATTAGTATTGTCTATCCTGTACTTTGGGGTACCCTACTGGGGGTAGGGGTTAAGTTAATTAGCTATAATTAAGACACTACTTCAAGATACAGCTTTGTTTCCCTCCTTGATCATAAGAGATACTGTGGTTGTAGTAGTGGTTGTGGTTGTGGTTGTAGTCACAGTCTGTGACTGTGACTAGCTGTGGTTTTGGCCCCAGAGTTTGTCAGTTAACCGGGATGTCAGCCCTTAAGCCTGCACATGGGTAGATGAGCAAGTTCAGAGGGTTAAGCATATTAAAGCAAGGACGCAGGACATGCGTTAAGCTGATACAACGGGGTATTAGTGGAGAGTTTACCTGGAACAGCCGTCTTAAAGATGGGATAATTCTTAGCCTGAGGACAAAGTTGTGAAGCAAGTATAGTAATTACCTTGCTAATTTTAGAATTAAACTTTGCTGAAGCTTGCTCAGCTACTCTGAATACTAGCCTAAGTCTAATATTAGACTTTGATAGACTTCAAAGCCATTTCAGGTAAGAGTTTAGAAATTGCATCTGTTAATCTAGGAAAAAATACCCAACTAGTCTAATTTCAAGGCTGTCTTGGAGTTACATTAGTAATGGGGAAAAAATGCAGCATTTGAGTTCTGTTACTTAAATTACTTTTTAATCAACTTTGTCTTCAACCTTCTAGGTGTAGACAGCTAGTGATATTTTGGTAACTTTCAGTATGTGATAAAACCTCTGCTAGGAGTTGGTTCTTGTCTAAGCCCAATTTTGTCTAACTGGTAAATGCAAGAGTACTGCAGATATGCAACTGAAAACTCAAAATACGGTTAAAAATCATATTTACTGATGAAGCGCCAGTTGCCTTGGTGGTTTTAACATTGGCATGGATCTGTTCAGAGTATTATTGATTACTGTGACTTAAATGATTTATTTCCAATTTTCGTGAAACTTTTGCTATGTGTACTGGTATATCTTAAATGGTAGAATGAAATGAGTTTCATGGCTTTGTGTGAACATAAAGAAAGACCTCCTCGTAGTTGGGTTAGACATAGCAAGTAATTCTCAATTTATGAACTCACACAGTAGTATGGTGATAAATGAGTGGTTTGCACCATGCCAGTACGTAAGTCTTTGGTTGCTAAATTGCTTTTACAAGAAGCTTAAAATACATTGTTCATACTATTCAGTTTAGGCAGCTGTTGCCATTCCCACAGGAATTCTCTTTGGTTGCCTGTTGGGAAGGAGTTCATCTATACAGTTGTTCATAGGAAAAGAATGTAGTACCATACTTCTTTATTAAGATCTGATTAATTCCATGAAAAATTCATGCTTAGGCTGGTATTATCTTTCTTAGAGAGTTCATTTGTGATTTGGGTTGCTCAGCTTTATAGTTTTATTGATAGGGATAGACTATGAGTTAACCCTTGGCAGAAAGTAGAAAATGATTTTGCAGGAAAAGTTTTGGATCTCAGGGAAGACTGTATTATGGAAAAACAGTAAGAGGTGTTGAGCAATTTGCTGTGTTAGTGCTCAGCATTAAGTCAACCTTTCCAAGATCATGCTTCAGGATGGTGAATGTTCCAGAAGTCAGTGTGTTGGTTTGCATTCATAAATGAGCTTCCTGTGTTGGCACAAAAGCCAGTTTCCTCTGCTATGCCAACACAAAAGTAGTATTTAAATTTTACATGGGCTCTTACTGGCTTCTGGTAATTACACTGATTTGCTCACAGTAAGTAAACTTGGACCTTTTTGATTCTTCATTTGATATTGTCAGCCAAATTTCAATTTACTTTAGAAAAGTATGCCCTAGAAGTGAAAGAATGAGAAATGTAAATATGCTTGTAGAACTCCTGACAATTTCTATATATTTTCAAGAAATTTGTAAAGAGTCAGTTGTGATACTGAGTTCTTGTTCGCATTCAACTTTACTAGAGTTTTAAGGCTATATATGAATTTCAAAATATGAAGACTAACTTATGAATTATCCAGAAACTATGTAATGTGGAGGATAACTTTGACATCTGAATCTTGTGGTGAGAGTTGAATTATGTTTCAAAATAATGTTACTGTTTTTGCAAAACTTATGTATCTACAAATAGCTACTATACTATCTAATACTGCTGTGGTGAGAAGTGCTTTAGATAAAGAAAGTGTCAAATGATGGTGGAGCATTCTGTTTTTTCTCTCGCTAAGGTCACTTTGTCCTGAAATATTAGCACTGTTATTGTTTCCCCACTTTGCAGCTTCACATCACTAGCTTTACCCCTTTGTATAAAAGTCTGTCTTAGAGTTTTTACTTTTATAAGCAATAAATACTTTATTTTTCCTATTAGGTCATTAATTCTGCTCTTATTGCACTGTGTGGCATTTGTTTTACGAAGTCAGTGGGTTAACTCCAAAGTGATGCTGAAATACAAGTTTAGGAAATTGATTTTTACTTCCTTCTTCACTCCCTTTTGTTTCAACAGTCCTTAATTAACAGCCTGGATAGTATTCCTTGCCTCAAACTTCAAGAAATGTGTGGAGGAGTGAATGCTAAATGAATACACAGCAGCCATTAAATTGAGTGAATTTTTATTTAGCTTCTGAGGTCTGTTTGTAATCCTGAGGTCTGTCTAAATGCAAAACTCCTGCACAGTCTGTGTATGGAGAATGGCTGAAACTTTAGTTTCTCACTAGCTAAATAATGGCATAAAATTCATGTTAACCTGCACCATTTGTTATTTTAGCAGTGATAAATGAGTTTGAGAGAATTTAATTTTTTGACCACTGACCTTTTCAGTTTTGCAGTTTATGCCAACAGCAAACTTCAGAACAAACAAAATCCCCACTTTTAGCTGAACGTGGTCATTAGTCAGCATATCTAGGAAGAAAGGTGTGCTTAAGATATTGTAAAATGTATTATAATTTCTATACATACTAGGTGTTTGTCATAATTTCAGTTATCTCAGTTTTAAAGTTAAGCTGCTTCTGATGTTGGCTGTTAACCACTAAAATGATATTTTGCTAGTGATTACATTTTTTAATTAAGCCCATGTATTAGCTATAAAGCCACTTGAGTGCATTGTAAATAAAACACAGTAATAATGAAGTGCTTTAATTACACTCCCTAAAGTATGCATAGTTCTCAGTAAATTTTTTATTTAAATTCTTAACGTGTTCCTTTTTCTGAAAAGCAGTTTGAATTGCTGTAAAGATGTAGATCCAGGCTTTAAAGTCATTTGAGCAAATTCCATGGCTGTTCTCTAGTTAGTGAGTTTTCACAGCATTTGCAGCAAGCTAATTGCTTCTGCTAATAAATAATCTAAAATCGATGCTGACAGCAGTTAATTGGCACAGGGACTTTATTCTGTAAAGCACTTGGCTAACGACCTTCCTTAAATTAATAGCATTAAGTGCTATGAGGAAATAAATCTAAAGAATTGCCTGTCATTTGCTTGTCATGTCTAATAACTTCCAATAATGATGGCTGATAGATTTTTGCACATTCCATTATTGAAGTTGGTGCTTGTAATTATTCTCCTCATTATATGTAAACAATTAGCAATATTTGGTGTTTCCTTGCAATAAAGCTGTTAAGTACAAGTAGTCCATTAGAGTTTAGAAACTATTTTTGAAAGCAAAATTTATTTTCCATTGAATACAGCAAATCCTCAGGTATCTGAAAATGCTGCTGGTTCATGGATGAGCTTCATCTTTTGATAACATTGATATGATGTTTTTAAATGGGAGGATATGGTGGGGGGAATACTTTGAAAAATTATCTATTGATGTGTGGAATCTTTCTGTTTCCAGCTTGAGGAAGTAATGGAAAAGGAAACCTACAAGACTGCTAAACTAATCCTTGAAAGGTTTGATCCAGCATCAAGTGCAAAGGTGAGTCTTGTTATTGATACTGATGTAATATGGAAGGTGCTATGGAGCTGAGCACTCAGATAATGTTATTTATAATTAATTGGCAGGAGACTGAACTACCATCTGCTGGAACATCTGCAACCCCAAGACCTGGACAAGGTAATAGCCCTGTAAAATGGGTGCTCTTTAGCATAGATGCTCATCTTTCTCAGCAATTTCCAGTCTAGAAGTCTGTCTATGATAAAATTTGTTGATCAATTGACCTTTTTTAAGGGTTAATAGACTGTTCATTAGGCTATGCCCATTACTATTCTGTATTTTTCAGGCAAGGGATCTATTACTAAAGCCTGATGTTCTAGACAGCAGGATATTCAATGCTGCTTGATGTTGAAGTTGAGAGAAAATTAACTTCTTGTGGCATACTTGCAGCTTTTCTAGAATACTAAGGTGTTTTCAAATCTTGTGTAATATTCATTTACTTAGCTTTTCAATTGTGTTCCTATGTATGGCTAGTTAGACCTTTCCTAATGCAGTGCTTAAACTACTTCTATTTGGTGCCCAGAGGAAAAAGAAGCTGGTGCATAATTCAACTACTTTCTAGTTGCAAAGAATGGACAGTTCTTTACTGGTTTACAATGTTCCATTTAAATGTGCTATTGAATAAAATAAAATAGAAAAAACTTAAATGTCTTTCAAGTAAGCCTTGTTACTAGATTGCCCACACAAGTTTCAAAACTTGACAGATCTAACACACAGTAGAATACTTACATTAAAAATGTGATATTTATGCAAATATTTATGCAAACAGACTAGTGTTAATTTTTTTAAGTTGAGTGTAATATGCTGTAGTTGAATTGAAAATGCTTGTATGAACATGGTAATAAAGGCTGCCTCATACTGTAATGCTGAGGATTGTACTCACACTTTAAGACCAATCTTTATCGTTAACTTTCTGTTGTAACCTGAAAGGGCTGATGCTCAGAATAAACTGCAGAATCTGATATGCATAGTTTTTCATAAAATAGACAGATTGCTTTAGAATTTAATATTAGAATTGTCAACTTTGCCTTTAACTCTTGTGGGTAACGAAACTTCGATTTTTCCCGTTTCTCACTCTTGGAGTACTTGTTCTGTTCAGTGCAGAGCACCTGGATTTACTAACAAATCCGCTGTTTTGTTCTTCCTGCTTAGCTTCAAATTGCCATGAAAACATTTTAAAACTATCCTTACTTGTTGACACTGACAGTGAATAGTTGCAGTGTGGTACCTCAATAGTGAAGCTGTAGTATCTTCTGATGTCTTAGACACAACAGTTTTTTTTCAAGTTTTTTCCTTACCTGTCTCTCCCATGCTCCATTTCTGCAACATTCATAGTTTTGTTCAGGCTGAAGGGTCATTCTGACACCCTGTTCTTTTCTCTGCCTTAATACATCTCATAGGTGGTTGCCAAGAATTTTCTGTTACACCTGTAATGTGGAGGTAGTCTGTTGGCTTTTTTAAAACTCTTTATAAAATTCATCCTTCTTGAGCTATGTTAAAAATCACTCCAATAATCTATTAGTAGGGTGACAGATCTGTTTGTAGAATGCAAGTAACATTGACCAGGGGATGAAACTGCCTGGAAATGTGTATGTCTGTATAGAAATCTACAGATAATTAGCTATAAATTAGACAGTGGTTAGTTTTTAGTCACTCTGGCTTTAATAACAGAGAGCTGCAGCAGTTTTGAAAGTCCTTAAGAGGTATATGACTGATCTCTTCCCCTGTACCCAGGCTATGAAAGGAGCAGTGGTGAGAAGTGAGTTGGTCAGTGTCTATTAATTAGTCTTGTGTGTGTTTGGGTTTTCTTGTAATAAAACATAGTGCCCCTATTTTTGATCCAGGCAGACAAAAGCAGGTCAGTTGGATCCAGCATATGCTGTGTTGTGTTGATTGTGTCATGACTGTTAATAGAAGGGCTGAGAGGGAGAGGTTCTGAGAGAGTTAGAATTATTTCTGAGCCAGTCACTGTAGGCTGTGGTCTGTGTTACTAAATGTGGTATGAATAGATATGTGAAACAGTTGTTGCTGAGGAGTTTGCCCATGCTATCTGTGCTTAGAACTTTTTATTTAGAGCTAGCTGTAAACTGGTCTCATATGGGCTTGGTGGAAGGCATCTTTTAGTACAGTTTCATTTGCAAAGAATGCATGCTGAGACTGTCATGGTATGAGCCAATAACCTCTAAGTGGGGACACAAGTGAGAAAATGTACAATTCTCTTTAAAACAGATTCAGCTTTTTGGGGTGCATAGGCATTCTTGCTTGATCCTGAATAAAAGTGCAGTTAAACTTCGGAAAGGATTTTGGAAAATAAATTTTGTAAACTGTCATGGCTTATAGCTGGATTTTATGATCTTAAGGGTGTTTTCCAACTTAATGATTCTATGAGTCAATGTAACTTTGTTCATATACAGCACAATTTTATTTTCCTTTTTTCCAATCTGTTCTCTAGCGCATTGAATTTGGAATTGGTGCAGCTTTTTATCCCTGTGTAAGTGGTTAGTCAGACTATTCTATTTTGGAGGTGTGTTACAGTTCAAGAGGGACATGCTGTGTTTGGCTTTGGCTTCTGAAATTATGGAGACTTAAGCTCCAAATAACTTGTTATATGCAGTAATTATTTCAATTTTTAGCTATCAAAAAACCTACTAGCTTATTGCTGTTCACACTAAATATCTGCCCAAAATGAATATTAGCTTCTGTTCTGTGCAGTATGTAACTTACTGTAACTAGATTACACCTTTATGTGGTTGTGGTATAATTTGGTGCATGTAGTATGAGGTAGAATTAGAGTGGTTTGGAATAATAAAATATTTGTTAGCAAGTTAACATTAAAGCTTCCTTCATTTTGTCTTTGCTCACTTTGGACACAAGCTAGCCAAGTTAGAGAGCTCATTTCCTTGAGCTCTGTAATTGAGTCTTTTTGAAAAGATTATAAACAATAACTGATGCATAATGAAGTTGGACAGTGTTGTGTATGAGACAACTGATGAAAGGTTGCTTAGTTTGTATGTTTTTGACTTACTGGTTGGAATGAAAGCTTGCACATCATACTAATTGGTACAAAGGTTTAATCAGTGTTGCATAATACTTGGTTCTCAGAAAAGCAACTGGTAGTGCCCCAATTGTCCTGTATATTTAGCTTTTCTTGCAGTTTTTGTGATTTTGACAAGTACTGCTGAAATAAGTAATGGTAGTTTTAACATGATTTAGGTCGGTCTTGTGTTTGGCATAAAAAAATCATGAAATCCAGAAGGAAAGGAATTTGAAAATTTAAATGCAATTTTACCTGTTCAGAAATGTTCTGAATGGTACAGTTAATGAATATATACTTATTTAGTACTTTGGCCATAGAGGAAAAATAGGGTAAGTATATATTTGAAGTGAAATTTGTCAGGAATATCCTGTTGTTGGTACCTACTCTTTCCATTTTGGTAATACGATTATTAGCAGGGTTATATTGTAAATGAGATCACTCTGTGACCTGAATTAAAAGTAATGCAATAAAAGATGGTTGCAGACAGTGGGATGGATATAGGCATGAGGAGGAAGGAAGAAAATGCTTGGTTGGTCTTTGATACTGAAGCCAACAAGTTATGTAAACTGTTATTGACCTGCAGTGTACTGTAGCTCTATGAAAAAAAAATTATTCTCTACAAAAATCAAGGTGTTTTGAAGTGAGGGAAAAATAAAATAGTTATGCTTGTAAACATGAAACATGTCACTGCCTCACCACAGCAGTGGTGTAACAGTCTTTAAGAGCTCATATTGAATCATCAGTTGAGTGGATACCTCTTAAGTAATGTGTCTGCTTATATCTGAAGTGTCCAATGCTGGTATCTGCAGAATTTGAATTTGGAGAATAAAAGTTCTATTTTTAAGCTATTTATCTGTCTTCATGCCATTGACTTTTGGATACACAAAAATCATTACTGAAGAAAATCCTTGGAAAATTGCATAACTGTATTAAAACTACATCAGCAGTAGCTGTAAATTACATTAGTGTTGAGGTCAATGGACATGTTTCTTAGCTAAGTTGCACAACTTGGAATTATGGAAATCTGGAACTTTGCAAGAGGCTCATTTTGAATACATTGCATCTTAAGGCAATTTGAGAAGTATATAGATCATATTCAGTTACTTCAGAAGACTATTAGGGCTGTTGTTGTGGAAGTGCAGAGCAGATTTAAAAGGAATTATGGGAGTTCATGGGTAAAGGGTCCATATGTGATACTAAAATCATGAGACAGCGCTGTACTCTCAATATCCATGACAATGTGAATCCTGGGGGTGGTATTAGGAAATGTAAGCATCAGAAATCCTGGTTTGTGTGTTGTCACTGAGTAACATCTACAGCCACTCTATGAAAGGAAATACTGGAATGGCTGGGCTGTTTATTGTGCCAGGGAGAGCATTTCTCACTTTCTTAAAATGTATATTCTGATTACTTTTCTTTCTTGGGGAGCAGCAGAGTTGAGCTCGTTCTCAAGTATGAATCACAGACTGGAGTGAAAGCCAAGTGAACTTCTAAGTGAAGGGGGAAAAAAAGGCAGTGTGAATAACCTAATATTTTGTGGAAACTAGCAATGAGTCTTGCATTCTTAACTCTGTAATGAGCTAGAACTACTGAAGCACATCTCTCTAACACTGACTGTAAAATACTGGTTCAGCATCTTTATGGGAACAAAAATATGGGGAAAGAGTCATTAAAGTAGCAGTATCTTTTTAATTGAAAGTCATTTAAAGAATACTTGCCAAAATGACCCTTCAGAAGGAATGGGCAAAAGGGGCAAAGCTCTTGCAGCCGGCATGGAAATTACTTTGAAATAGTGTATTATGGGCTCAGAATAAATGTGAATATAGCCATGACCTATTGAAACAGACTCGGGGCTCTTAAATAATTAGAATTAGCATGTTAAACCACATGATCTAGAAAGACGGCCTTCAAAATGTACAAGTAACATCCATATATAGAAATTACAGTCATGGTCTTCAACATTTTTCTATGTAAAACAACAATAAAGAAGGTTTTGTAATGAAAAAAGAATGGATTAAGATGTCTTCACAGATATTTTAAATGATTTTGAAACAAGTGGAGTTAGGCTTTATATTTATTACTCATTTTTTGTACACATGTGGACCTGAGAAGACTTGAGAAATTGCATACCTTTTAGATTAATTTTTGGAACTAGCACATCCAGAAACTACGACACAGACTTGACTGTAAGGGTTAAATAAATCGTGGGTTTTAATCACTCTTTTATGCTTGGAGATGGGCCATACCTGTTGGTCAGATGGCATAGAGAGAATGCAGTTATCCTAGTGTAGTAAAACTTGAAAGGTTACTGCTAATGTCTCTCACAAAAAGATCTTGAAGACATGTTAATGGGGAGGTTTATCATAAATTAATTTTTACTTCAGATAAAACTCTAAACACCAAGAGCATTTTCAAACCAGAAACAAGTCACCAAGGAAATGCTGATAGAATTTCTGCAACTACCACCAGTTAATCCTGGTTTCCAGATTCTGAACAGCTTAAATAGTGAGGGCACAAACGTTAAAATACAGAACCTTCAGATTCATTGGGTGATGTAATTTGGACAGTGCTGTTGTGTGAAGTAATGCAGCCATGCACGTGGTGTGGCAGGAGAAAAGTAGTAATTTGTTCTGTTTTGTAGGAAACTGATCTAGGTGGATTTTGAGTAAGACTATTTTTTTAACTTGTAGTTTTTCAAGTGGTGATACCAAAGAATTTTTGATTCTTTCTTCTCTTGTGTGTTAATCCTATTTATAGGTACAGATAAGTAGGCAAGACCATAACCTATGTATGTTGCAATTTTCACGGCACTAGATTGGCAGTTTTCCCACAGAACTGTTGCGTTTGACCTAGTACTTCAGTGATAGCAGCTCTTTCTTAGCTAGTGCCAGCTGACGTGCATGCTCACCTTCTCCACCCAAAGCAGGAGCTAAGCGAGGTAGAATTGTGCTTTCAGGGGCAGGGATCATTCCTTCAGGCTCAGCACACCGATTTGCCAGTGGCTGGTTGCCAGTGGACCTGTAAACTGCCTGCTAAGCAGTTAAACTCTTCCAGCCTGACACAAGTCAGCAGATAAAATCTCTCTAATCTTGAGACTCGTGGAAATTATTTTAAAGTCCAAATGTAGTGTTAAATTCCATTTGTTGTGCAAGAAGACATGCGAACTTGTTCTAAGTGACGTGGATGCTACAAACTAACTCTATAGGGTATTGCAGCTTTAGGTGTGGGTGTTATTGGGGTGTCGCTTTGGGAGACTAACCTGCTACTTGTTAACCATGGAAATATCTGCTGAAGCTAAGGCAATGGTTACATTTCTGTTTGATTTGTTGCAATAATGTGTGAACGACAGGCTTGCCTGACTATTACAACATTCAAACTGTGGTATGTTACTGGTGATATTTGGCTTCAGAAGAACAGCTGGGGAATATATTAAGTTTTTCATGGTAGTGATTTAATAGTAACTGATAGTGGTGTGAGAAGTAAAAGTAAGGAGATGTTCTGGCAGAGCCTGTTCTTGCTTAGTGAGAATCCATGCAGGTGGTTTGATGGTAGGGTTACTGAAACAAGTGAGTGAAACTGTATCACCTGAATGAAGCATTACCTTTTCTTCTGTTTTTAGAATAGTTTCATTTATGTAATCTGTTTGTTTTTGTTTGTTTGTTTGTTTTTTAATAATTCTGGACATTAGCCTGGTCATATTAGACACTGAATGAATAGTTTTTAGGAAAGCTAAATATTTGGAAGCATTTTTAAGCCATGGAGTAAGAAGTGGTCAGTTCTGTGCATTGTGGTTTGGGTCTAGCTGTTCATCTGTCCAATGTTCTGCCTTAGCAGATACCTTATTGATTCTGTTCTCTAGTTTCCTTCTAGAAGAATTTTGCCCAAAGTGTTTAACAGTTACGATAATTGCTGTTAAAATACAGTATTCTGCCTGGTATAGACTTCTGTGATGTGCTCAGCTGATGATAGTTAGTTTTAGACCTTCCTGGTTTTGTTTGATTCTGTAATTTGCTAATTGGTATAACGATATTAATGTACTTTAACTAATATTTTGCTTATAATACTAGATATTAAATTCAGTATGTACGTGTTCTTGTCAGAAATTCGTCAGAGGACTGCAGCTCAAAGAAATGCTTCTGTGCCCTCACCTGCAACTCCTAAACCAGGCTCTCCAAAGTCTGCACTTCCAGCATCTCCTGGTCTGCAGAGAGAGGCTCCGGCTGTGAGCGGGCTCCCGGAAAGAACGGCTGGGCCATCCTTGCAATCAAATGTTTTACCAAGACGCCCTGGATCCCCTGCTACTTCAGTGCCTGGAATGGGTAAACACAGCACTTAATGTTATTTACAGTTTATATTGTTTTCTCTGGTTACCAATAAAATAGGCCATTTTCAGACAGTATGGAAATGGCATTTCATTTGGAAATAGCAGAGCAGTTATCTGATTAAGCAGGAGTTCCATATTCAATTAGCCATAACTCTTTACAGCTGGCACCTTTTGATGCTGAAACCTATTGCCTGAGCTCATTTAACTGTTATGGCTTCTTTGTTTAAATGGCAATAAAACTTTGCAGTATTCTGTAGTCAACAATATAGCATACCTTTTTATGTTCTTAGTTTAGAAGAGCTCTATGCTTGTATAAATCAGGTACAGAGGAGAACACTTTCAGAATACATTGATGCTTCTCACTAAACTCTGCACATACTTTTTTAAACATGCATCTTGACATTCATTTAAATTTTTGCTCTAGAAGGTATAGTCATGCAGCCTATACTCATAGATTAAAGTGTGGAATACCAAATACTGCGTGTTGTAGCTGAATTTTAAAATGGCACTGTTATTTTGGTACAAGAGTCCAAAGTTTAGCAACAAGTTGACATCTGGTAGGAATGAGTAGTCCTTGAAATTTGGTTTCATATCCTGAAAATGTTTTTCCCTTGATTTCTTACTTGGTGTTCGGATAGAATGGACTTTTAATAAATAGAATATCAACTAAATTGCATTGGAAGGATTGCAAAATTTGAGAGTTTTGTGTGGGAAGCACTGCTGTCATTTTCCTCATGGATGGTAAAGCTGTGAGTGGGTTTGTGCCAGGCCTTTCATTCTTTATGGGATGTTTGACAAGCTGGATCACCAGGCAAGAAAGGAGATGAAATGCCGTCTTGAAAATAGAAGGCACAACTTGCCAAGAATCTCATGAGTATCAGTGTAATGTGGAGTAGTTCTTTGCTCTATGTACAGGGATCAAGAGTATTTTTCTCTGCCCTGTGTCCCAGATTTTTACTTGAAGCTACTTAAGTCTTACCAACTCTATGTCCTTCCTTACTAACTTCCATGCTATAATCAAAAATTAAAGCTGTAGACATATACTGACACCTGCTCTCTAATATCTTGGGAAGCTGAATGTTAAAAGCCCTTTTCCTGTTATTCAGTGTAGTGGAATAAACTTGACATGGAAAGTTGTGATCTCCATTCTCTGTAGACAATTTTGTTGTTAGTAATTCTTTACCTGTGTTATGAAACTGCTACATTTGTTTTTATCCCTGAAGTGAACTGTAAAGGCAAGTTATTAGTAAGTCTTGATTATCTTGAAGTACCAGAAATTAGCTCCTTGCACCAGGAAATTGGTAATTTGGTTGCAAAACACATTACCTGATATCTGATTACCAAAAATTCCATAATGAGTTTAAAATTGCATGCTCCTTTTTAAGGAAGCTGACTGTAGAATAAAGTATTAGGTGTATAATAGCTTTATTCTTAGGGCAAGATTCAGGCACGTTGAATAAGCTGGATGAAATTCAGCCTTTACTAATAAATGTTTTAGAGGAAGAAGGAAAATAGAGTAACTGACATGTTTGAAAGGACGGTTACCAGTCTTTAAAATTTCTAAATTTTAGAATTTTTAATGTAGTTTTTGTGAAAATGCCTGACAGGCATTTCCCCCCACCACTCAATAACTAGTATTTTGACCAAACATGTTACTTTGCCATAGATAACAATGGGAGCCACTGCAATTGTCAGTTAATATGGAAACCTTCTTTTTTTTCTTGAATTTCCCTAAACCTACCAGGCATGTAAAATCTGAGTCATGTAGCTGCAGTGAAAAGTACATAAATTCAATATCCCTAAGAATAATATGGCATCTAAGTTTATGCATGGCCTGCAACAAATATGAATAGCCTTAATTATCTCTATTTTACAGAAGATTAATAATTCATTTTAATTTTACTATATTTTGTAGGAGAGAATCAATTTAACGTGTATTACCACAGAGCTCCCATATGTTTGAAAATTAATAACCAGCAGGTAGTTGAGAGTTTGCCAAGCTTTGCAGAAATGACCAGTCTTTCTACAATGATTGCTTTTGATGTTTATATTAATTACTGGTGTCCATAACAGCATGAGAACCAAGATGGTTGGTTTGAGTTATTAGTAGGCAGATAATTGAAGTTGTTGTTGGAATGTGTTGTGATGTTTCATTATAGGTAACTTTATTCAATTTGCACTTTGTTTATTGACTTTTAGAAACTTTATATATTGGTGATTTACAAGTCATATGAAAACTTGGTCTTCTGAATAAAGGCCTATAAGTAAACATTTGAGTGCAAACCAGGTATTCACAAAATTATTCTAGAGCTTTAATTTTATTGCAGATTGTATCAATGCCTTTTTTTGATGGAAGTATTGGATCTTTCAGGTCTTTATAAAGCTCTAGGAAATGAATTTTGCCTGACCTCTGCTTTGGACAGAATATTAGCAGAATACAGTTTATTTGCACTGAATTTGTTCTGTCTTGCTGCTGTGACAGTTTTCTTGGTCTAGGTTCCTACTTGAGGACAGAACACAGGGATAACTTGGAAATGCATTCACTGATTGTTATCTCCTGAATTAATTTCTCTTTTTTTGTGAAAATAAGGCCTATTGTAAAAACATTTGTGTTGAGTATGGAACTTTTTTGTACTTAACTGATGGGCTGTAATTGCAGTATTTTCTGAACGAGTTTTCTTGTGCTTCTAAAGATTAGGACAGTCTATTTAGGTCAAATATCCAATATTGACAAGGTGTGCTGTTAGAAATAGTGCAGCCTTAATGTCAAGATTAGTTGTGTTCTAGTGTAGCACTATAAGAGGGCACTGCTGAAAATATTTGATTCCTACAATGTTTAACGTTTGTCATAGAGGATGGAAGTTAGCTGTGTGTGGCACTGAGTGTGAGGTTTACCACAGTGTTATACATTGTGCCCTTAGTTACTTTTTCCATTTTTGCTTCTATCTGTGGACATGAAAAGGTAGAAGGCTTGAAATGGTAATTTGCTGGCAGTTACTTTTAGTGCTATATTTAAACATGAAGCCCATCTTGGATCAGCTTATTGAATAGTAAGACTTGCTGTGCTGTCTTTGCCTCCTGGTCTGGAGGTGAAGATTTACAAGGAGTGGCTGAGATACTTGATTTGTTCAGCCTGAAGAAGAGGAGACTGAGGGGTCTTCAACATCCTCATGAGGGGAAGCAGAGGGGCAGGCACTGATCTCTTCACTCTGGTGACCAGTGACAGGGCCCAAAGAAATGGCACAAAGCTGAGTCAGGGAGGTTGTGGTTGGATATCAGGGTAAGGTTTTCCTCCCAGAGCGCTGGTATGGGCTCCCCACAGAAGTGGTCACAGCACCAAGCCTGACAGTTGAAGCAGCATTTGGACAATGCTCTCAGGTACATGGCGTGTGTACACAGTTTTGGGGTGTCCTGTGCAGGGCCAGGAGTTGGACTCAGTGATTGAGATGGGCCTCTTCCAACTAACCATAGTCTATGAATGCTCTGGTTAGGAGGAATGTGTTACTTCTATGTGGGTGTTTATCAAAGTGCTGGAAGCTATGACTCTCCATGTCCTGATGCTATCCCTGGCTAAGCTGCTGTAAGAAAACTAAATCTGAACAATCCTGAAATGCTTGAAATCAGCCGTTTTAAATGCAGTGTCTGTCAGTTAAATGTCCTTCTGAATTAGTTCGACATAATAACGAACTATACTCTCTTAGTTGTCCTTTGTTTGGATTTTTAAAAAATTGTATTTTGCATTTTTAGACAGTGCGTTTAATCTGTTTTACTTTTGTTTGTTGGTCATTATGGGGGATTCTGTGAAACATACCTCAAGAAAAACACTGGAAGCATAGAGCAAATCGAAAATTATTGCCTGACTTTTGTGGTCACTAAAGGCCTTTCTTTTAAACCATGCTGTTTCTATATTTGTTTTTACTGGATGGAGTGAGAATAAATACAAGCTAGAACTCTTCTTAGAGAAAACACTGGTCTCTTTTTGCACCTTCAGTATTTCATTTCCATGAATTGCATACACTTAGTTCATACAGGGCTTTAGATTGCCATATGCTCATCTCAGTATGAAGCCTGCTAATACTCACTGATTTTTTTTTCGTTTTGTCCAGCCTTCTTAGCTCTCTTGAGCTTGCATAGGACTTTGGCATTTTTAAAATTAATTTTGTCAGAGATTTAAACCAAGTCTTATTTGTAAGGTGTCACAAGTTTGTCTGGCTGCTTTGACTAAGCATAAATCTGAAAGTATCCAACTTGTCATTAAATATGGGATAACCAAAATGGCAAACAGCTGGACAAGTTTAATGTATAGAGTCAATGCACACTGAGGGCATGCTCACATGGTATTGTAATTACACAGAAACCAGGGAGTGTTTCTGTGGTGACACCTTCATAAAATCATAGAATGGTCTGGATTTTAAGGGATCTTAAAGATAATCTCTTTGAAACCCCCATGCTATGGACAGGACACCTTCCCATAGACTAGGTTGCCCTGATCTCTAGTTCTTCTACTGTTGTCATTGATTCTGGCAGATTTATTCGTGTAAACTACAAGTGTAAATTTGCAGAGTTGAGTGTATATGAAGAGAACTTAATTAAATTCTTTCTTAGAAGGCCTTTATTTGTTAATAATTGAATACTATTGATATGTTAAGTTCTTTAGAAATTATAAATATAATTACATGTCCAAGGTGTGAAAATGGAGCGATTTAACAAAATTGTAAGCTAAAGGAGCAGAAGAGGAATTGTGAACTATTGTGGGTTGAAGAATCTTACAGCTTTCCTAGTGGACTAAGAAATATGCCCATGTATATTAAGTAGATGCAATTATTTTGTTACACTAGCATGCACAGTAAAATATAATATATATTTATATAGTGGAAAATAATTTTGATATAATTCATGTTCTAGGTCTTCATCCTCCAGGCCCTCCTTTGGCAAGACCTGTTCTTCCTCGAGAAAGAGGAGTTGTGGATAGAGTTATTGAATATTTGGTTGGTGATGGTCCTCAGAACAGGTAACATATTCTTTAAGAAATACCTGAACACTTAAGGGAAAGGAAGCCTCTTAACCTTTTTGTTTAAGCCATGTCAAGGTTAAAAGAATTGTAAATGAACTTGTCCAAAATTTTCAGAATTGAGAAATGGCTTTTTCTCAATGCTTCACTTGAAATAGCTTTGCAGGAAAACTGGTACTATTTGGGCAAAACTAACCTCTGTTCTGAGTAGTATTAACTATATGATACAAAGATCTATGCTCACATGGGTGAATGACTTGTATTTTGAGCTAAAAAGAAAGAAATCATTTGCCGCAGCACTTCGGTTTTATATCCGTTATAAATGCCTTTCAGATTGCCTTCAAAAGTGTCCAAACATATCAGAATTTAACACTTTTACTATGGTTACTTTGCATGTTAACTATTCTAATGAAATAAAGGCTTAATTTGGATGATACTTTCTGACACTGATGATATTAAAAATATGTTGAACCGTAGTTTAAAGTGTAGCTGAGAATATTTCACTATCCGACTTCTAAAAGTATTATTTAATCTACAGATTTAGTTTGCTTTCAAAATTAATGATTTCATTGTGGAAATCACAATGTGATTGTGTGGAAGAAAAGATCTAGGATATTAGTCGATATGTAAGGTAAAATACATCTCCTTTCAATGTGTTCTTATTAAAGGCAGGTATGTATTATTCATGTTTTTTAGGTATGCCCTTATATGTCAGCAGTGTTTCTCTCACAATGGTATGGCTTTGAAGGAGGAGTTTGAATATATAGGTAAGAGCTAATCTTTTTTACACTCTATTACTTGGCTTATGTATCATAGCAAACATGCATCATACTTCACTTGGGTTGCAGCTTAGTACTTAGCTGACATTGTGAAGTACCACTTCATATGGGAACATTTTTTGGTAACATATTACTCTGTATCTTAAGATTTACTTCAAGACTTAGAGAAGTACTTTATTGTGACCTTCAGGTCATGGATTTTATGTGTAGAAAACTATTCAGTAGAAATAAGCTTCCTCCAATACATCCCTGAACATTGCTACTGGCTATGAATGGTTCTCAGAAGGGTTTTATGTTGAGGAACTATCTGACATTAAAGTGTGCCTCTTTTACCAGAACTTAAACTAAATTTTCCTTTGGCAAGAAGATCTTGGGGACATATTGGAAAAAGAGTGGGAACAAGCCCCAGGGGCCTATATGTGAATTTATGGCTGACAATAACTTAAGACAGACACAGCTCTTTATTGAACACAGATGTTGTATTTTGCCTGCTTTCTACCACAAGTGTAAGCCTGATGCTTAAGAAACTAGGGATTCCTAGATAAATCTTCTATTTCATTTTGTTTTGTTTGTTTTTATGAGTAAATATACTGCATTGTAGGAATAAGCTAAATGTTTCCTATGAAACCAAAGATATGTAGTCTTTGTTATCTTAGTTCTTATGAGTTCACAACTCAGTTGTACCAGAAATTGCCACTTCTCCCCTTGTCTTGGTGAGAGTAGGGAGGACAAAGAGTTATTTAAGTATTAAATGATATCCAATACTTCTACAAAACAAAACTGTTTTTTTCTTAATTAAGTACCACTGGAGCAGAATGCTCCTCAAAAAGCAGAGAGACATACCTTGTGGAATTCCTAACATCTCCTTAGAGTGTGAGGGAAGTGGCATCTTAAGGGGTGGGGAAAAAAAATCATCTGCCAACTTAATTCTTTTGGAGGAAAGAATAGAACAACACCATGTGGCAGCATCTGGTGCTACTGAATTGCATTATTTTGTTCATTGTGGTCAAATCTTTCACAGTGTTGGGCAGTACTCAGTTCAGCAGAGCTGAAAGCAAGCAGGGTTGTAAAATCCAAATGTCTGCTGAATTTAAAAAAGGACCTATTATAGAACAACTTGTAAAATTGGTGAGTATCCTCCCTAGTACTGATAGTACTTAGTTAACTCTTTTTGAAGTATTTTCAACCATCAGAATATAGTGTAGGAATAAAGCTGAAATGTGAAGTTAATTAGTGAGGCTGCTTACTGGATGTGCTTTGTGGTGTAGCATTTAGGTGTGCCTACTGCTTCTTCCTGAATCCTGCAAGAAAAACTAGACCTCAAGCTCCACGACTTCCAGACTTCAGTTTTGAAAAAAAGCAGTCTACAGAATTGCGATTTGAACCTGAGCCTCTAGAACCTAGAGAGAGAAACCCCCAGCAGACTCAACAGACAACAGGTAAGTACTGATCTCATGGTCTGCTCTTTTTTAGATGTCTAATGAAATTCACCATCATCTAGCTCTGTTGAGCTAAGTTTTCTCATAAAAGAATGACAACAGCTGAAATGCTCAAACACTGCTCAAACAGGGTTTCTGGTGAAGTGATCAGTGACCAAAGTCTGTCAGTGTCAAAGGCATTGGTCAATGCCCTTAACGTGCTTTAGCCTTTGATCAACCCCCAGCTGGGTAGGCGGTTGGGCTAGATGATTGTTGTTGGTCCATTCCAATTGAAATAGTACAGTTTATTCTGACTTTGTAGTAAGTGCAGTTTATATATTTTTTCAATTCTTGTCTCTGCTCCTAGCTTAGGTTGTTGATCGTAGCATCTTCTTTCCTGTACCCTAAAATTTCTTCATATTTGTCATTATCTTGTGTAAATGATGGCACAATTTTTTCACTCTAATGTTACTGACAAACGGATAGAAAAAAGCACTGTAAATTACAGAAATAGTTAAGGAGGGAGTATATCCCAAAGTAGTTAACTTTCACTGTGTTTGGCAGGTCATTTGGTTGAGGTGTGTTGGAATTTCTGCCTTTGTTCCTTTTGCTCTTTTCCTCAGGGCAGGAAAATCTAGTAAAACTGCCTTGTTAATTTCAGGTAGTTCAAAGACAAATTGTCAATTTTAATTTAACGTAGTTCCTTTTGAGACATTTTATAGTCTACAGATACAGTAGACATCTGGTGTACAGCCAGCAGGAAGATGCAGTGTTTTAAAAGACTCCAGAAATCATAATTTCAAACCAGAGGATCTCCAGTTAGATGTGCTGTTAGGTGCTTGATGGGACTTTACGTTAGTTTAAGCAGGGATCCTGGCGGAAAAGTGTCAGATAGTGTGCAGCCCCGAGGTTCAGGCTAGAAACTGTGGGAAATTGTCAGACTCTAATAGAGTGCTTCTGATTGATTATTTTTAACAGGGAGTACAAGATAGCACTGGACTTTACTTTCTGGCATGAGAAGGCTGCACAAAATCAGTAGGGAAGTCGTATTTAATGGTGGCAATCTCTGGGCATGTTCGCATGAGGGTGCACTGTAGTGAAAACTTGTTTTCTTTTCCTGTGCCATAGTGCACTCTTACCTCAGTACAAGTGATGTTATTGGCATGAAAGTAAGATTGAAATCAAATGGCTGAAACTGAGACAATGAAAATGTCTCATTTGCCCTTAAATCATAGAGTCATCTTTTTAGCAAGGGGAGGGTAGATTAGTAGCTGCTTGGACTTTTGAACTTAGAAGATTCTTACAGGAAAAGGCATACTTTGTTACTAGGATCTTTAAAAGTCTTCTTGTTTCCTTCTGTCTAACTCAAATAGAGAGATCCTTAAAGAAGGATACTCTACTCTTGGAGAAGTGCCTCATGGGCTTGTGAATATTATCCATTACTTCAGGTTTTTAGAGAGAGGTAAGGAGAAGTGCTTGCTAATTAATCTAGTATTATCATTGAAAGAAATTATAATGAAACTATGCCTATAATGGGTCTGAACTTCTGAGTCAGTCTATAGGTGTTGTAAAAAATGTAAAATCTGAAGAATTACTGTGAGATTGCCATTAAACATTTCAGATGTAGGAATGAAAACTATAAGTTGCTTTTTATGGAAGCAGAATGTTATCAAACACTTCAGCAGAAAACTAGGATGGATTTATTGCAGTAAATGTGATTTTGCCAATTTACTTTTAACAATGGAAATTACTTGTTTTTTTCTGATGTCATCTTGTATTAGTGTGCTGCTTTATTTTAAAACAGCAGGAAAAGAAGCAACTGTGAGCCTCATTGCCCAGTTGTCTTTTCCTTATAGGAAGTATATGCTGAAATTTTGCACAAGAGGCATAAGAAATAAATAAGTGATATACAGACTTTCGGTTTTCTATGTTTAGTAGCTGATCTTTTATGAATATTTGTTCTCCAAGATGATACAAACCATTCTGTTTTGATAATTACTAAACAGCCAGAAATAGAGTATGTCTTAGTATTTTACATAGCTCTGAGAAATGTCTTGTTGATTTAGAGGAGGCCGGTGCCTGCCTGTGACTTGCCACAAAGGAATCTCTTCTGAATGAGAAACTATTTTCAGTAAATCACTTTTTCCACTGGAACTGTAATATGAAATATCACTGCTTACATGCAGTTGGATTTTATTAATAAATGAACACATTCCTTGATTGTAAGTTGTAAGTTATAAAGCTATCATTGAGGTAAAGCTCTGGGGAGGGTTTTTTTTCACCACAGAAAAATAGCTGCTGTCATAGGAAGAACAGAGAATATCTTCACTTACAGATGTAGACAAACATCAACATCAGGAAACCAACTTCACCACAATGCTGACAACACAGGAGATTACAACTGTTATCTGTAATTCATTTATACCATAGCTTATAGCTCAAAGGAACAGCAAAATAATGTGATAAAGAAATGCTATAAGTATTTTTTTTAGTTAATGGTTGGGCTATGCTACAAATGAGTTGAGAGGGCATAGCGCTGCCTCTTCCTTGCATCCCATACTTTCTTTGACTCTAGCCTGAAGAGCAGCAATAAAGGAGTGTAACTCAAGTGTGGAGGGATTGGAGCAGGAAAATGCACAAACTTATTCATAGAATTCGAGGCTGAAGAAAGAATGCAGAGATGAGACAGAAAGAAAACTGTCAGTTGGGAGATAAAGATTGAGCACAGACAGATGGGATCAAGATGGAAATTGAAGAGCAGGAGGAGAGAGGGGGAAAGTAACTGGGAACATTAATTTGCTTGGGCAGAAACAGGAGGGTTGAAAAATTTTGAAACGAGAAGCAGGGCAAGTGTTGAGCAGCCTGTGGTTGAGAGAGCAGGGAAGGAATCAGGATGTGAGTCAGCTGCAGACTTGCTAAAATGCAAGATCAAGTCTGAGAAAAAGATGGAGAAACTAGGCTGCTCTGAGCAGTCTGAAATGAATCCTGGAGCTAGCTAAGGTAGAGAGCTTTGTATGGAAAGAGGGGTATTAAATTCTTGATGACAGACAGCATTTTTACAAGGTCTGCTGGACAGGGGTGTGCAGCACCTCCTATTCTCAGTCATGGGTCAAGAAGCCACAGCAATGGTTCTAAAACTTCCAGCTCTGCTTGAATTCTCTATCAGCCTGAAGCAGTCTGATTACTTTCAGACACCCAACATGTTTTGATCAAGGTGAACGTGTGGCACTTGACTGACACTTTTCCTGAAAGGTTGGTATTGGGACCAGCACTATTTGATGTCTTAGGCAGGAACATGGCTTGAGCACTCCTTTAGTAGGTTTGCTGATGATGCTGAGCTGTGTGGTGCAGGGAAGGGATTCCATCCAAAAGGACCTTGAGAGGCTTGAGAGATGGGACAGTGAACCTCATGAAGTTCAGCAAGGCTGTGTCTAAGGTCCTGCATCTGGATCAAGGCATCACAAGCACAAGTACTGCTCAAGGCTGAGCAGAGAATGAATTTGGAGCAGCCGTGAGGAGGAGGAGGATGTGGGGAATGTTGGTTGACAAAAATCTCAGCATGACCTGGCAATGTGTGATTGCAGCCCAGAAAGCCAACCAAAGCCAGTCCTGACATTGTATTTGGCATCATGTATGTTGAATTTTTTTTCTTTTCTCTTCCTCCCTCCCCCCTGCTTAGATACGATTATTTTTTTTTTAGTCATTACTATCCTAATTTGTTGAATTATTAAGCTCTTCTAATTTTAACCCAGAGGTTTAACTTTTTTTGTGATTCTCCTCCCCATCCCACCAGGGTGGCAGGAGAGTGGGTGGGGAGTAAGCAAGTGTCTAGTGTGCAACCCGGTAGCAGGCTGAGTTAAACCACAACTGGCCCCTGGCATAAGAAGGACATTCTCCTTTTAGAGCAGGTCTGGAGGAGGGCCACAAACATGGTCAGAGGGCTGGAGCACCTGTCCTGTGATGACAGGCTGAGAGGGTTGGAGCTGTACAGCCTGGAGAACAGAAGGCTTTGGGGTCACCATAGAGCACCTTCCAGGATCTAAAGGGACCTCAGGAAAGCTGGAGAGGAGGGACATTATACAAGGGCATGCAGTGACAGGACAAGGCAGAATGGGTATGAAATGAAATGGGGTTTAGATTAGGTATTGGGAGGAAATTTTTCACTGTGAAGAGGGATGAGACCCTGTGACAGGCTGCCCAGAGAAGCTGTGACTACTCCATACCTGGAAATTTTCAAGACCCAGTTGGATGGGGATTTGAGCAACTTGGTGTAGGAAAAGGTTGGAATTAGATTGATCTTTAAAGTTGCTTCTAACCCAAACCACTCTATGAAGTTAAAAGCACTTGATAAGGGTAACATTTTTGAGCTGTAACTTTGCATCAGTTTTGCACACTATTCATCTTCACAGTATGCATTAGTAGTGTGTAGTATATAGTATAGTAATACTAGTCAATAAAACAACTGCCATCAGCAATATCATTCTACAATACCTTTGTATCATTTAGTGCAACACTGTTCAGTTTTTCAGTGCTTATGCTTACTTCAAAACATGACTCTTCTCATATGCTACTGAATTCCTGTAGTGAAGATAGAATTTACTTCTTTAGAGGCAGTACTTAAAATAAATGTTTGATCTTGAAAATATGTGTATTTTCAAAGAAACTCTTATCCTGGATGAGGAGTAAGTATACTCACTCCTGTGCAACCATCCTACAACTACCCCTGGGAAGACAGAATATATAATAATTTTCATTGTCTGGTTTGATATATTTGTTAGGGTTTTTTTTTTTTTTTCCTGATTATTAGACTCCTTATGTTTAAAGTAGTTGTCATCAAGTAGAATATTTTAGCTTGTGTACCGAATGAACTGTTATAAAAAAAGTTAAACAGTTGGTGAAACTGACATTACCAAACAGAAACTGAATTGCCATCATGTGTTTCTAAGGTCTCACTTTAGTAAACAAGCTTAGAAAGCTTCTGTTGAGGATGAACATGCAAATAATACGTATTTTCTTAGTGGGAGCTAAGCTCTTTTCCATAGTAATTTATTTTTCCCCCCTTGAATTTTAATTGTTTTACCTGTGACCGTCTTAGAAAAATAGAAGTTTTTATGAGTTGAGAACATCATGCAGTTACTAGTCAAAACCTGTATGCGATTGCAAAATATTTCATTTGCTTTTTAAGAATATTAGCTGCCTCTTAATTTCTGAAAATGGCTATTTTGTCATTTTTCTCTTCACAGAATCTGAAGATGATGTGAACCAGCTCGTTGAGACAAATGACACAGATGATAAAGCACCGAGTTCTGAGCATCTAAATGATAAGCTAGCTGAAGAAACTGAAAAAGAAGCAGAAAACATTTCAGCAACTGAAGAGGCTATTTCAGAGTCTACTTCAGCTGAACAAAGTGAAGAACCTTTAATAAAAGCAGAATAAAATACTTCAAGTGCCTTCTGTAGCTAGTTTTTAGCTTTGTTCATGCCTGTTGTTACTATTCAGGTGAGCTTTTTTTTAATGGTACAACTTAAAAATCTTGCTTGGGCTTAAACTGCCTCAACTGCCACAGTGTGTCAAACTATGTGTAAAAGTGGGTGTTGTAAATTTAGCATGTCTCTTTAAGTTAACACATAGAATGTGTAGTTGGTTGAAGTCTAACAGTTGTAGCCCTTGTTTAGTTTGTGTATTTAAAAACTTCCAGGTACAAGCTTTGCTAAGGGTGACTTACAATTTGACTTCTCTTTAGCTGTCACACATAAAGAACAATTCCTGATGGCATCTGACATAGTAAGTTTGGTCTAGTGAACTCAAGATACTTTCTAATGCTGCCCTGTTAAAATGGATTGAGTACATGTTTAATACACAGATGTTTACAAGCTCAAGTGTCATCTGACATTTGACTTAAGCATATGAAAGTGTCATTGCAGTGGTGTTAATATTATTCATTGTCTAACTTTTTGACAGAATTCAGTTATATGGCACTTGGATAAATGGCATCTCCTTTGGTGTTTGCTTTGCAGATGAACCGGAGGCACCTACATGCAAAACTGTTTTGTGTTTACATAAAATATAAGAAGTCTCTGCACTTGATTGTACTTGAATACAAAGCACTATTTATATCTGTACAATAATGACAAGATAAAAGTGAATTTTGTGCCTTTGTGTATTTTGTTAAAGGAAAATAAAGACATCTAGCAGCAATACTTGCTTTGTGATTCCTAAAACTGAAGAGAATTCATGTTCTGCTGTATGCAGCTACAGTTACTTTGTGCAAGTTCAGAAGGAATGTGCCACCTTAAAAGGAGCATGTCGATTTGTAGCTGAGGTGGCCTTGATAGAATAGAAATAGATCCCTGATGAAAAGGGGGAGCGCATGTGCATTTGCCAAAAGGCTTTTCTAACTGTACCTAAAGCTTGTTGATACTATTAATGTTACAATTGCAATGAATATTTGCTGCTGGATTACTGAAAATGTAAATTTTTTATTTCCTTGCTTTTTAAGCTAAGGACACTTGTTACACATTTCCTGTTAAATCTAACAGCTGGGATCCTGGATTAGAAGTTTTCTGGTGTCTGTGAGGTACCTAAGTCAATCAGATTTTTTTAGAAATAAATGCTGAACATATTTGACTTGGTTGATTTAGTAATACTTCTGATAAAAGTTTTATGTTGTGCAGTGTTGTGTACCGCACTACAGGGAGAGGGAAAATTTCAAAACCATTTTTAATCTAATGTTTTGGGTCTGAAGGGAAATGGTTTTTACACTGTAAAGGCAACAAAACCTCCCCTCCATCTTAGTAGTTTGAGTCCTCAACCAGAGAAGCATGTTTCTAAATGTGACCTTAGTATCCATGTCTTTATACAAGACATCATTATTAAATGAACAACAATAATTAATTTTCTTTTTCAAATACATGCTTTATTATCTCATTATTTGGGGATAGTTTAGAAGGTCAGCCTTGCATCAGTCAGAATCAAGTGTGGTCTGTATTTAGATTAAGGAAGAAATCTTTTTCTGCTTTGCTATGTAAATTGCAATTAATGTTTTAATTAGTAGTCTTAATAGACAGAATGTAGGCATGTGCTTAAAGGAGTACTCATAGGTATATACTTACGTGAACAATTAGCAAATGAGCATTTTGTGTGTGACTGTCTTAGTTAGGAATACAAAGAGAACAGTTTCAGAACGTGTATTATTACAGTATGAGAAAAGTACAAGGTACAAAGTGATAGGGGAATTTTTTAATACTTTCAGAGAATATATTTTAGATTACAGAAATTATTTAAAATAGAAATAATTTTGCCTGAAAGGTGGCAAAGCTTACTTATTACTTTGTAAGTTGCTAATCTCTACACTGCATTTTGTGCCTCACTGATTTATCTGCTTAAAGGCTTATTTCTTTGGAGAGGAAAAAAAACAGACTATGTGAGTAATTCAGCACAGTAAATTGTTGGGTGTACGTGCATTCTAAGCACTAAAAACAAGTAAAATTTGATATCCTGATCCATCATATGGGAGATGAAGGCATGAATTACTGTCAGCTCAGAACTTTAAGGTTACTCTAGGCACAGATATTACTTCCTTTTAAAAATGTGCATCTGAAGTGTCTGGTCTTTTGTAGAGTAATTTCAGGTCCTTTCTATGACAAGCAGTGACTGAGGTGTAATGCATGTAATATCTATAGAATTGGCTGAGAAAACTTGATATTGGACCTATGTATTAAAAATGTTTTCATTAGCTTGGGACATGTGTATTTTCATGTGTCCTGCTTTTGTCAAAGAAGCTGATGTTTCTTAGGTTTTTGGGAATATGAACATTTTTTGAAAAAGGAGACTTAATATTTGGAGGGGAGTGGGGTATTTTTCTCCCAAGAGTCTTAAATGTGACATGAGAAACTTTCCACGGAAGTGATTGGTAATTTTTGTTTAATATATCACTGAAGGATCAAGTGAGACAGTCAATCTGATGTGAAAACAAATACTTTTTACAATATGAAAACCTGCTTTGTGACCTAAAAATATCTGTTACTTTTGAGCACAGGAAGATTTACATCTGTTCTAAGTGCATGATAGAATTGTCTGAAAAGACTTTCATACATTAAAAAAGTTTCTGAGCATTCGTTTCCATTCACTGCTTCAGAAGGCTTGAAGATTATATTAAGGATGTCCTAGAATTTTGATAGAGAAAAAAATCTATTTTTAACTTTCTAATTTTTCAGAGTTTTAAAGCAGTGTTAGTAACTGAGGGCACAGGGTTAATCTGTGGGTGAACTCAGATTCATGATGATACATGTGACTGTTATGGACTGAGCTTTTCTCATTTTACAGTAAGCGTTCACATGTTACTGCTGCCAAGTGTGGGTGCCCCAGTCCTGATACAAATATGGGAAGAGAATTCTGTTTCTGCAGCAGTTGCTTCTTGGCTTCTGTGTACTAGAAGTGTGGCAGTAGTAAAGGGCACCTGTCCAACAGGAATTGAATCCAAAAATACCTGTAAATGAACAGCAGTAACCACACTTAGTCATGTCATTAACACCAAAAAAGCCCTTGGAGGTAGGAGTATGTAGACAAAAAAAGTACAGTAATTGTCATATTTAATCCAGTTGCAGTTTGACTCTTAAGAATGGAGAGAAAAAAATACAGAAATACCGTGGTTCCATGTTTTGTTGTCTTCTGACTTCTTGGCATGTACTCAAATCTCAATTTTTTCAGAAGTACTGAGATTTCTCACAGGACGAGGCTTCTACCATGTCATAGGAGCCCCCTTTTTTCTGTGGCTGGGATGAAAAGCAAAACTGAGTAGGGTAGTGAAGTAATACTTAGCAAGCTTGTTGGTGCAGTGTTTTTATTGACTCTGGAATATTGTGAATAACTGCAGAGATGTCCTTTATTCACTTAGTTTATAAATTAACTAAATTTATAGTTAAATTTAGGGAGGAGTTATCTTGGCTGTACAGAAACTCTGCCACAGAAGACAAATGAGTGTTCTTGTTCAAAATAAATTGAAGTGAGGTGGTCAAATGTCAATTTTACTTTAGAAGCGAGTTAAAAAAGGCAATAGTATTTCAAATTCTAATACTTCTAAAGGAGAACACAATTGATTGCCCTTGGACATTTTGAGTTAAAACATTTAGTGGAATCTTGGTATGATGATTTCTCAAGACATCTGTTTAGCCTTCGTGCAGGAAAGAGAAGCTCTCAAGGAATGGCAAATGAAGAGAATGCAATAGCTGATGGTTTAGAAATATCTAGAGATTATAAAAAGCAAGTAACCAAGGGTGGGTATGGTTGCCTTGAAGTCAAGAAGATTGAACCCCATGTGGTACATGAGTAGAAGCTGATGGAAGGACTTAATGATGGAGTGAAACAGTTGGGGGAGGAAAGGGATAATGTTTTTTTTCTTTTGGAACAAAGACAAATCAAGAGATAAAAAAGATGAGCTTGAAGAGATTTTTTTCAGAAAATGCAGTAGGATTTGGCTGTTACCACAAGGCAGTATGTAACTCAGGTTAATATCATGTTCTTACCTCAGAAATAATAAGAATGCAATTGACAAGGAATCATTTTGGAGAAGTTTGTTTGCTTTTTAGAGTTAATTCCAGAATGAGCATATGATAATAACTTGCTGGAAAAAAGGCCATCTGGCTATTATGAGATACTTCTAAACTTTTTTAAACTTCAGAGGCTAGGAGAAACACTTCTTTATTGGTACATGGTTCTGAACTTAGCAACATTTATGACTTGTGGATATGTGGTGCTGGAGGAATGAGTAGGCTAGAGGAAACTTTCCTTATTCAGTAGCTAAGTCTGCTATTAAGAACTTAGTCTTTAATTTTTGTGAAGTCTTAACACATTCAGTACAAGAATGCTGGATGTAAAGAAAGTTTTAAATAAGCTGCTTCTCCTTATTTATTCTGCTGCTGGAGTGAGGTTTTGTCCTACAATGAGGAAAACTTCATGGGGCAAGGGATGTCCTGTCTGTGAATGTTGCACTAGAACAATAACCTTGAAGATTCATTTTGTGTCTTTGGCACATTATTTGTGTGGCAAATAATCATTTGACCAGCTCACTGAGTGTTCTCAAGCAAAATCTTTAGGCCTTCATTTCCTTCTGTGTATTACAGACTGGCTTTAGTTTAATTTGTTTTTTTCCCCTAATCTCTCTGAGAGGTTCTTTGCTGTCCAGTCAAGTGGTTAAAAGTTAATGCCTCAGATGTCAGCATCTCATGTTTCAGTTCCCTTCTAGAATTGGTAAAATGCAACCCTCTCCAGATTTCTGGTGTAGTGAGACTCTGAAGGAGACTGTACAGAAAACATATCTCTAATACAGGCTAATTTTAAAAAAAGCTGTAGATACATCATAAACATTGGGAGGAGAGTAAGTTTTCCAGGAATAAAGACTGGAAATTTGAAAGTTCTAAATAATTTGGACAAATAGGCTTGCAGGAGGGATTAGATTTAAAATTAAGTTGGAGAATGAGAGGGCAATAAAAGATTGCTCCATGGCCAGTGGATTGTATTTGATTGATGGCATGTGATTTCTTATAATTGCTTAAGAATGTATTTAATGGTAGTATATGGGTGACAGAGATTTTTGGTGGTTGTCAGAAAGTTTTGTTTAACTGACAGGAAAATGTGTGTGGAATGATTACTGGTCTTTGGCACTGCTCCTCTCTTCCATTGTGTGGTCTTTAGGTGGAATTCATATGCCTCAGGCTTGTGGAAGGTGATGAAGGCAAGGAATTACAGCTGATAGGGTTGACTGGCATAGGGTTGTTGGCTCCAGGTCCTGTGTAGTAATGCACCAAAGTTTCTGTCAAAGGACAAACTGTAACCTTCAATCAGAAATATGTCCTAGTTGAGATTGTCTGGTAGTCTGAAATTCAGTGTACTCCCTAGTTTGGATTCTTGGTGTTTGGAGGAAAAGAATGGCATCCTGAGTAGGTGGGAATTTCTTAGCCTTGGGTTTTTACTAGAGGTTTGTTTACACAACAAATAGAATAAGCTCCAATAGTGTTTAACAATGGGAGCTGCTACCCCCCAGCATTTTAAAAAATAAGAAATTGAGTTGTCCCTTAAGATGGCGAGTCTCAAGGAATTTGACTTCACCGTTGCTTTTGATTTGTGGACCTCTCTAGGATCTTGTCAGGTCACACTCAATCTTTTCTCTGAAAGAATAACGATTCTGTGATTCTATGAAGAATAAGACCTAGAGAGGTGTATGATAGGCAGGATAGTGAGAAGGGCTTTAAAATGAAATGTATTGATTATACAATAATTTGTTCCCAAAGCAAGGGGTTTTGAGATTAAAGCAAACACTTCAAAGATTCTCGATAGATTATTTAACTTTGCAACAGTGAAAAATCTAAAGCACTGTATCATAATATAACTTTCAAGGTTGCATAAAATCAATTTGATCATGACGTAAATTTTTGGTTAGATGGGGATGTCCTGACCAAGTCTTGTAATACTGGTTATTTCTCACAGTAGTCACTGTGGGAATAAACCTATTTCAGGACTGCCACTGTATGTACCTAGCATTGTACTGCTAGGATTTTCAGTGAACAATTAATGATGTTTTTCAGGAGGGCTTCATAAGCCTTTGCCACTCTGAAATCAAGTATTCTTCTTTTGTTGTGTGACAAAAATAATTTGCACAAGGGAGATTGCAATTGCCAGAGGAATACATGCAGCAAGATCCTGAGATAAACAGATATAAGAGAAAACGGGGTGCAGAAACTGGAGAGCTGACAGATTTGGGTGTTCAATTTGTAAATTCGAAGTCATCTCTAAATTTGTAACTTATATTGAAATAATCATTCTTTCTCTCTTTCTTTCTCCATTTTGCTGCCTCAATGAAAATAGAGAAGCTGGATTTGTAGAAAACTCAAGCAACAAAGACCTTCCAGCTCTTCTCAAGTGGTCTACCCTCTTATTACTTGCATCACTTCAAGGAGTTCTGCTCAGTTGATGAAACTTAATTTTGACTTGTTCAGCACTAAAAAACATTTTCCAAAACCACCAAGAAAATTCATTTTAAGAAAACTATTTTGAGTGATGTTTGAAAGGAAATGTGAAAGTTTTTATTTCTTTAGGAATGTTTGTACTTGTATTTTTTTGTATATTGTGCTTTTATTTAAACAGGAGATCCTGTATATTTATAGACGCTATTGCTGTAATAGCCTTGTTGCATTAGTAAAGGGTATGTGTGTTTATGTACTATAAATATTATCTTTAATCAGAAGTATCATTTTAATCCTAGCTGTAGCCTTGACTATACATCACCTGCAGTTGAAATTCATTTAAAATCAATGGCAGAAACATTAATTACTGTGAATTCTTAAGCTCTAATAGACTTCCTGAAATGTCTGTCTTAGCTTTTCTGTTTGTAATTGAGAAAATATTTGAACTTGTGCTCCCCTTTTGAAATTTTCTATTTTGAAGCCAAATGAAGCCAATTTTAAAGCATATGAAATTAAATTGCATAGCTTGTTATTTGAATATGTGCTGTCTTTCCTGTGTATGTAACTTCTCAAGGAAAAAACTGGTTATGAAAAAGCTATTTATTTACCTGAGCTTAACTGATGATTTAAGGTGATAATTCTGTTTTAATAATTCCTTCTGTGTGGGCTGTTCTCAATCAACTTGAGTTTTGTAGTTACTTGGATGTTTTTAAGGATCCCATCCATATGTTACCAAAGATGAGGATATGCCCCTGCCTCTTTAGTGCAGTCCCTGCCCCCCAGTTGGACTGGCATATGTAGGAGAAGAAAGTTGTTCAAGGTTGAGTCGTTTCTGATAAGACCCATTTGTCTGTGCTACAACCAATTGTGAGAACTCCTGGCTCATGGCATGAGCAGCCAGCTCTCCACCCTCAAAGGTCAGGCTGGCACGGGACTGTGAAGTGTTGTGTGTGCTGAAGTAGAGGCAGGGAAAACCTGCCTTGATTCAGGATTGAAAATATGTGGCAGCTTCAGAGAGAATTGTGGAGTTGTGCAGATGCTGACTTTGGCCCACGATTCCATAGACGTTTCAGGATGGGTATTGCAGGTTTTATTGTATCTAAATGGTGATTTATGTCCTTATTCCTCCATTATTGTCCACAAGGTACTGCCCTGTGTCACAGGCCTGTATTACCTATTTTTTTCAGACTGTTTCATTTTCATTAGCACAGCTGCTTTAGCTTGTGATCAGTGTACTGCACCTCATTGATAATCTAAGAGGGTATTAGATGCACAGAAGTGACACGTAACCCTGTCAGTCTGCCTTGATTGACCCCTCAGCTTCCGAAACATGGGTTCATTTTTCTTTTTTTTAAAATCCAAGTTAGCCACATCCATTTTCACACAGATTCCGGGCAGTTTAAAGGTTGGTCGGATTCGAATATTGCTCTTTCAAATTTGATAATGTATGAGTACAGAACTGTGACCTTTGATACGTAGTAATACATCAACATGACATGAGCAGTAAGTGCAGCAATTACCTTTACTACACTTCAGATTGTGTTTTAGTTCTCATCTTGCAAGCAATTATTTCAGGAAAAAAAGGATGCCTTTAAGTTAAATATTTTTTGCAAATAGTGTAAGTGCAGAAATTAATCTCTAGGGACTTCCTAATTTACAGGTGAATGTTTTCAAATGAGTCTGGGCTTTTAAATTAACATTGTTTTAGTGGTAGAAAGGAGTCTGGTGCCATTGGTTCTTACAATACTTTTTTTCTGCGAGAGTTTCTTTAAACATTTTTGTTGTGTTCTAATGCAATCCAAATTTCATCTTTTAATTTATGGCCAATGCCTGATCCTGCAGGCAGTTGACATGTCACTGTGTTCATGTTGCTCCCGTGATAATACTCATGAGTTGGTTCTGTGCATGGTAATAATGCAAGTTTACATGCTTTTAAGTGCCTTTCAGAGCATCTCAGACGTGCATCACATACTGATTTAAGAGGCTGTTTTTAGGTACCCCAGCAATATTTCATCTTTTTCCTGAGCAGATCAAGATGCATTTGGTTTATTTCCAGATGTTCTTTCTCACTTGTTGTTATAAATTATTTGGATAATGATAGTGCACACCCACTACCTGGTAGTGCTGTAAAAACACAGATCAGTGCTCCTTGCCAAAGAGCATAAGGCCTTGAGAGGACTGACAGCAGTTGTGGTTTCTGTTCTGTGGACTAAGAATCAGAATAAAATTACTGTGTCATTCTGAGCAAACAGTTGAGTAACCACTGAATGGTGACTCTGTCAGTGTTGTCTGTCACAACCCAAACTCGAAGGAATAATTTGAAATAGAACTTCATGTTCTTGTAAAATACCTGCCTCCTCAGCAGCCAAGCACTGAGGGGTGTTGGTGTGCCAGAGTTAGGCACTGAACTTTAATTCAGGAGCTGGGGAAGTGCTTATCTTTTTCTATATTGAGGTGAAATCAACACCTTTTGGAATGGCTTTCTTTAAGCTGTCAGAAATGTAAACCCCTAGCCCCCAGTACCATTTGGCCATTCTGGGGCACAGGAGGCAGCTTACTCTGGTGGTTCAGTGGCTGATGTGGAATAGAAACTGAATAGAGCCACTCCCTTCCAAACCTTGCATAAGCAGAGGGATGTTTTTGCTAGGCTGGCTTTGTCTTTTAATTCCTGCCTGTGGAGGTTGCTCACTTGCTGCACATATGCACTTGTTATAGATTGATAAAACTAAAAGCTTTTCTAATGCAATGGTAGGGTGTCTTTTTTTGCTCACTATTTTCTAGCAAGTAGCTATTGTGGTGTTGTTTGTCCCCAGGGAGTAAAATCAAAACAAATTTATTAGATCACCATGTAACTTGCTCCTAAGCAAGCTCTTGACCATACACATTGTTTTGCAAAGCCACAAGGAAGGTGCAACCTGAGGACAGCATGCAAATGTATTTTTGGTTTGTTTCTTGTTGCTTTTGGCCTGTGCCACTTAAGGGCACTTGGGCCCTTAACTCCTTTAAAATATGCAAAAAAGTAGAGTTTTTGTTTTTTTTTACTGTCATTAAATTTTAAATGTTAATAGCCAGTAGTAACTTACTTTATAAAACCACCCAACCTACTTTTTTGCAGTGTTTTCCATTAAAAAATGTGAATACTGTATATATGGAAGTCTTGAGTCTATGGTGCTGGCTAAGCAGGTGATGGCAGCTCAGTGGGGAAGTTTGTTTCTCAGATGGGGCTCCATGTTCACACTAAGTTCCTTAGGCTGAAAGGCTGCCCTTGTGCAGGTAGGTGCCTCTGGGTGGAGAAGTGCATTTGTTACTTGACTACAAGTAATAAGAGGATAACAATGGCAACTGCTCATTGCATGGCAGTATTTGTTGGTTGTTACTTGCTCATGCTGAATTTATTACTTCTGCTAACAACTTTGGTCTATATAGTTTTCTGTATTGTATATTATTAACCACTTTTTAAAAAGAGCTGAAACACTGGTATTCCCCAGCAGTAGGATCTTTTTTATAGTATCTATAAAATATTTCCTTTCCTATTTTAGAGCAAGGGGTAAAGGTAATATTTTTTCCATGGTTCATACTATAGCAGTATGACTAGAAGTATTTATTTTTCAGAAATGCTACGATTTTTGTTTGTTTCAGCTATTTGCCTACATCTGTGTGATTCTGTGGCTTTTTAAAAAAATGGTGAGTGATGGCCTGGTTGCAGAATTTATTTTCTTTTTAAGGCTTATCTTAAAAGACCTAGCAGTTTGCAATGGTAAAATCCTCCTGGAAGGAATTGGTTGAATTATTGAAGAAACGGTAAGCAGCTGAAGTTATGGACACTTAATGGAAAGTACTTGGCTAAGACTGTGCACAACATTTTGTGAATACTCCTGATACATCATGATAAGGTGTTATGTTTGTCTAGTCATGAAGTCTGATCTATTTGATTTTAAATCTCAGATTGTGAGATTAATCTCAGATTCTGAGGAAGTGTAATGATTCTGGGAGCTGGAATATTGTTTGCCATTGTGAACAGTACTGAAGGCGTCTCAGAATGTATAACGTAATAGATGCAATTTTGTTTGATTTTTTTTTCCCTATGCCAATTTAATTTTGATTTATTTGCCTCATTAACCCAAGGATTCAGAAAATTGAATGCTACCTGAGTGAGGTATTATTAACACTAGTGAAATATCTTCAAAATCACTTCATGCTTATAAATTAGTCTTTTGAAAGCATTTTAAAGGCATAATGATGCTCTAGTGAAAATGTACAGCATCATTTAAAAACTGCAAAACGCTTATTTGATTTCACAAATAAGACTTGGTCACCTGACTTAAATATATACTGATCTATTATTTATGCTTTGAAAATAGAGCTGATAAAAAGCATAAGTGTTCTTGATATTATATTTTGTCATATCTAGCTAAAAAGATTGAAACCCAGAGAAACAATTTTCTGAAGAAATGAAATAGTATGCCCTCCTGAACCCCTGGGGAAAATAGCCTCTCTGTTTGCTCAGAATACGAAGCAGTAAAATGGTATAAGTAAAATAGACAGCCCATGTCACATTCCTATTTGTACAGTCTGGAATGATGTTTTAAAAATATTTTCTAGTTATTTTTGATAAATAAACAGCACAAATAACATCTGCAAACCAACCCTGCTGATGTAAGAGTTTTCATATCAGATTTGTTTGTCACTGAAAGTTTGGAAAATTGCTTTGCAAAACTAAAGTTGTATAACTCCCAAAAATATGCATACCAAATGTACAAGAATATATCTTGTCTTTTGCCTTCCCTTGGAGAAACTAATGCTGATTCTCCATTATCTTTGCTTTTGGGCTTAGAAGGTAGATTGGTAAAAATACGGGATATCAAAAAGCTCAGTAGCTAAACACATGTTTATGAATTGTTAAATAACTGAAAGTTCATGTTTATAGTGGAGCATCCAGCTATGTGTTTGGGATGGTGTATTCTGCTTAATGCTCTGAGATTTCCCCCTGAGCCAGTACTGCTGCACTGAAAACTTGGCTTAGTGGTTGTAAGATCC